CTCGCCATGCTTTTCTTGGCGGAGACAACAATCTCAGAGTCCGCACCGATTAACCACCTTAGCTTACCAAATTACGAGCTGCACTCCATCTCCACTTCCTGCTGCAGAGATGTTTCTCTGGAATCAGACCGGAAGGACATTCTGTGGCTTCGCCTCAACTCCAAAACATCCCCCAAATTTATTTGCTGCCTTTATCGCCCCCTCAGACCATAACTGGGATGACCTTCTAGAATACCTCGCCGTCATGATCGACATCCTGAACATAATCACTCCACTTCAGAGGTACATAGTTCTCCTCACTGATTTCAATGACCATAATTTGCTTTGGTTGGGCTCAAACAAGACCGATGCAGCAGGTCGTGCAGTTATAGCGTTCGCTCTTACTCAAGGGCTGACCCAGCTGATGTCGGGCCCTACTTTTTTTGCCCCGGGTCTCGTCACATGCCAGTATCGTGCTGGATCTCTTTCTGACCACGCATCTTGTCCCTTACAGCTCTGCTGTCCTGTCTCCCCTGGGTAACTCAGACCAATGTGTTGGGGAGGTTAGGTTTCGGTCAGAACGCGCTGTTTCAGCAGAAGCTCGCACAGGCCGCAAAATTTAGCATTACGGACATGCCGACTGGGAGAGGCTCAGAGACTTCTTCTCTACCTTTCCTTGGAGGAATGTCTGTTTCACTGACGCGGATGCGTCAGCTGTCTGTTCTTCGATAACCGAAATTATCCACGTCGGAATGGAGGAATACATGCATCATACTGCTGATATAATAGAAGTGCTTGATATTGTCAGTATTTGCACCATTTACTTGATTTTAATGGGCAGTTCAGAGTCTTAATCTTTAAGCTTATTACATGCTAGTAGACCCCGTTGCGCAATTTGTCTATAAGCAGTCTGGAGACGGTCTCAAGACACGATCTATAGATGGTCTACAGACATCCTTCTTTGTCTTGTCTAGCGTCCATACGATAATGTGAATTTTTTGGTCTCACGTTCGTTTTCGCAATCAAAGACATTATTTTGTGTGGAATGGACTGGGATATGTCTCGGGGTTCCTCAGAATATTTTATTTATTTTTTGTCGGTTAACAGAGCAATGAAGTTTTTTATGTTTGAATCTTTAATATTATTGAACTAGTTAATTATAAATGCCACGTACTTATTTTGTTCTCATATAATAAAATATTGGCTTTCTGAGGACTTCTGAGCAATTTCTATGTTTTTTTCAAGCTGGCCTTGACCATATAGAAAACAATGGATTTAAGGAGCAATAATAGGATAAATTCTAGAAGTTCCACTGATGTTAAAAAATGACCGGCTCCAAATATCGTTTGCGCCATCCTAGACGAAATCCTGAATCCGCCCTTGACACCACATAGTGAACTAGCTCTTTTGCCTTCGTATGTTTATCCTGTGAAATTATCTAGCTAAAAGATGTTTCAGAGTGCCTAAGCGGTTTGAACGTTGGCTTGAGCAGAGAAAGATGGACTAAGAGCCTATATTGGTATGTGCTGACGTTTCTTCACACCTTTTAAAAAGTATTTGTATTTCCATTGTTGGTAAATTCGTTGGCCAAGTTTATATGCACTCTTTAATCCCCCAGTGAGCGATATTTTCGCAAAAATTCTATAGACTTTGGATAAACCTTCACTCTTTTTTGACAGAGGAGATCCTTTAAGGCCACTCTCAGAAAAAGTCGACACCATTGCCTGTCGGCCTTTTCTGCGCGAGGTGTGATATTCTTCGGATAGGGTACATTTTCATTACACAAAGCTCCATAACATGCGCCTTGTAATATTTGGACACATGTACAGTCCACAACATATTTGTTGACATTGTGAGATGAAGGGCAGGACCCGTCATTTACGATGGATATCTTGAGGTTATAGATTAAGTCATACGCCCATCAGCAAAAGCTTCTCTGAGAGGCCATAGGATGAAAGTTTGCAATATGCAATATGTTGCGACACATGTAACCGAGATGTATAAACAAGCTACATACACATCATGTGCAACGTGCACCTTGACTTACGAGTATGTTCTTGCAACCTTTAAAGTATTTAACTACTTATCCGTTACCTAATTACTTAATTTCGTACTAGAAAGAAGTCCAAGCAAAAATTTCATAAAGCACAGTTTTGCGTTTAAAGCTGATGATCTATGAGGAACTGAAGTCTTTTTAATGTAAAGAATTTGTCTATGCTTAGACTATTTTATTTCATTGAACATTACGAAATCAACGTCGAAAAATTGATACATTAAAATGAATAGAAAATTCATCTGTTTGGATGTGAAACACGTCTCAACTACATATTATGATTTCTCGTTTTTTATGGCAACTGGAATCACCAGTTCTTTCTCTGAAGAAGCTACTGTTTCTTCGCTAATAAGGCATATGCAATTACCAACTGTTAATGACTCTAGAAATTTATAAATAAACGCCATTAAAAGTTTTCAATGAAAAATTCAGATCAATTTAAATGCAAAATGATAACGATAATTTGACAAAGATGATGGACGCAATTGCGCTAGCTGGATTAGAGGGTAGATTTGTTGGCCTTGATAATAAGTCAAGCTTGAGTGTGGCCATGCAGAAAGTTATGGAGTTATGAGTATCCCGGAGGAGTGGGCTTCTTATCAACAATTCTTGAAATATCTCTAGACATCGGGCAAAAGATTTTATTTTAAGGGCTGCTGCTGATGTTGGGTGTTTTTGTTTGTCTCCAAATAGAAACAACCCAGACGCCACTTGCATGTGACTGAGGTGGATGAAAGATCCCACTTATGCAAGTTAAAGGGTAAAAAATGAGTTCTTGGCGCGTAAATAACTCTGGCCTACAGAAAGTGAGCCGACTATCTTACCCAGAAGCCTGAGTATATTTGTACTTCGGCGAAGAGTTTTGATACGATGAATCCGAATCCGTGGTCCAAATATCTCAATTGCCTCTAGTTTTCGAGATATCCTAAGCTAAAATTGCATAAATTGCGACTTTTGCCTATATTTGAGGTTATATACGAGGGATGTCTTTTAAGTTTTGCATATAGAAACATAGTAGGCCGCGCGGATCGAACGTCAGTACTGAATCTTAACCTCACTCTTTATTAAACTCAAACTCAAAAGTTTCACAACAATACGTGCAGTGTTCTCACTACAGTGAATTTTTAAGTGTCACCAAGTCATTAGAAAAATGGAACTCAACCGAGAACATTTTCGCGCCATAATTTATTACAACTTTCAGATAATATTATCGCAACAAGAATGCCTTGCTGAGTTACTGTCTGTTTTCGGCAACGAAGCGCCTCATCAGTCGACAATTTCCCGTGAGTCTTAGCGACGATTCCAGGGTGTGTGCACCAAAAACGGCAGTCACCCAGGAAAACGTCGATGCTGTGCGCAAACTCATCATTGAAGATAGACATGTGACATATCGCGAGATTGAGGCGTCCTTGAGAATCTCAAAGACCTCAATTCAAAAAATTTTACATGAAGAATTAGGAGTAAGAAAATTAGTTTCTCGTTGGGTACTCCACCTGTTGACTGAAGAGCAGAAAGCAGCCAGGGTTAATTGATGTTAAAAAACGCTTGACCGTTTCAATTCTGGAAACTCAAAAAATGTGTACAGCATTGTTAGTGGTGATGAATTGTGGATTTACTGTTATGAACCAGAAAATAAATGACAGTCGGCTGTATGGTTCTTCCAGAGTGAAGAAAAGCCTACAAAAGTCATCCGACCTCGAAGTGTTTCGAAAAAGATGGTCGCGACATTTGTGTCAAAAGCGGGTCATATTGCAACAATTCCTCTTAATGAGCAAAGAACTGTTACTGCGGATTGGTAAACCACCATTGGTTTGCCAAAAGTCATCACCGAGCTTCGAAAAATCAACCCCGAAAAAAGAATCATCCTCCACCAAGACAATGCAAGCTCGCACACAGCCCAAAAAACAAGGCAGTATTTAACGGAAGAAAACATGGAATTATTGGACCATCCTCCATATATTCCCGATCTAAGTCCTAACGATTTCTTTACTTTCCCTAAATTAAAAACAGACTGCCTGGTCAAAGATTCCAGTCACCAGAAGAAGCAGTTGACGCATTCAAAAATGCCTTTTTGGATCTGCCAGCAAACGAGTGGAATAAGTGCTTCGAAAATTGGTTCGAGCGCATGCAGATGTGTATTAATCTTCGTGGAGAATACTTCGAAAAACAATAAAGTCATTTAAAACTACCTACCGTGTTGTTTTATTTCCATATGCAAAACTTAAAAGACATCCCTCGTAGTATGGGGTATTTTTTTCAAAAAACCATATCAAAGTACAAATATTTCAAATGCCGTTCAGTTTACTCATTTTTTTTTCTTCCGTTCTAGATGGGGTAGGGTGAGCTGGAGGCTTGTGGTTTGGTTTTGATCCCCGCGGATCGATAGTAAAACGGGGTCTAAGGGTCACATTTATTTGGGGATTGAGTAACGATCTCTCCTGTTTTCAAAATCTTCAACATTTTGAATCAAGATAATCGAAATTTTCTAAATTTTGAAAATCTCGAAAATCTTGATAACTTTGAACATCGAAAATCCTGTAAATTTCGATAATCTTGCCAATTTTGAAAATCTGTGACGACAACGACAAAAAGTGCAAATTTTTGAAAATAAATGTAGGGTTATTTAATTACAATGAAACATACAAACAACAGCTCTCGATCGAGTCAGTATTGATCAGTGCAGGATCGTAAGACAATATAAGAGCGCGCAATTATTACGAAAACACGATTTGAATATGGTGTAAAATAATATGTAATCAAGGCCATATATAACTTCACTAGGAGCATGGCATGGCGCTCGTAGAGATGCAAAAGGGCTAGAGAACTGGTGTATTCACAAGCACCTCATTTTTTCTTAACGTTTAAGCCATGTTCGGGGAATCCTTGAAAATTGTGAGACATAAGTTATTCTTTATATTTGAGTTCCTAAATCCCTGTGTACATATAACAATCATCATTTCTTCTTCAGGAGCTGCTAAAACAAAAGAAGGGAAACTTCATCGTTAGTCCTTTTTCGGTAGAAACCATCTTGGCATTGACAAATGAAGGCGCGAAAGGAGAAACATCTGAAGAGCTAGTGAAAGGCCTATCATTACCCGAAGACAGAGAGAAAATTAGACAAGCCATGAAATCCCTTTTGCCAAAACTTACGGCGAGAAATGAAGACAGCCAGATCCTTATGGCGAATAAGATATATGCTGATAATTCTGCTTCTTTGAATGCTGACTTTGCAGAGATGGCCAAAACTGTGTATGGTTCTGGTAAGTGTATTTTTTACAAGTTACAATTAACAGCTTAAACCTATTCTAGTGTGTGATATCTAGTGTGACTGATATTCATTCTCGAACAGTTTTACTTCGCACGCCTTCTGGCGAAAATGAGATATTACGTTTGTTGGATGTTGTATGAAATGTACCCTACGAAAAAAACATGTCACTTATTTTCGTCGATCTGCCTGTCTGTCTGTAAGATAATCATTGGCCTGTCTATTACTTGGAAAGTACTGCTCGGATTTGGATGCAACCTTTACACAAGGTTATTATTACGACAAGGACAAAAAAGTTAGTTTTTAAAAATAGGTCCAGTGGCCGTGGAGAAAAATGCCCAAAACGAAAAAATAAAAGTCGTTCTAACTTCGTTTCTTGACGTTCCAGACGAACCTGATCATTTTTGAAAAACTTTTTAGGGGCTGTGGGTGAGGGGGGTGTATCGCAATTTTTGACATCGGTATATAATACATTTCCAACCACGGTAATTCTACCTATTAGACAAATTTCACACATCATAGATTTCTCCGGACATTGTTTTTCAATTTTCCCCTAGTTTCTGATAATAACTGAATGCAGCCTAAAAAAGTTTTTATATTAACATTTTGTCAAAAATCCCAAGGTTTGTTTACCACATTTGTTAACTTTGAGTCGTAACCATAGAACATTTTTAGAGGGTTCAAAAATGTTGAAGAGGTACATTTCATTCTGTAGAAAGCTCTACGAGAATATATTTGATACATTTTTAAAACTCAAATATCGAGAAATAAGTAAAGGCAGACGTCAACATAATGCGTCTAATTACACATATGTATGTCGTTATATTCTATTTTAACCAATTATTCTGCTTTTACTTTCAATAATCTTTGTGAATGTATACCTCGCAAAAATCTCACTTAACCTACATTTCATCAACATACGCAGATTTTAATAATTAATTATTGTCGAATAAATCATATTTACAAAAATCTTTATACAAACACTCGTGTATATTTACTTCAGCTATCTATTTATAACATATTGTTACCATAATTTCTCTTAACAATCGGTATCCTTTGGATTGGTGATATGTTAGATTGATATTATTCCACTGCACGATTTTTATTTTATTTGTTAAAGATACGGTATTTTTACTTCCTACATATAGCGTGTACGTCACAATAATTAGTATCACTTAAGGGTGGTCCCAGAAGTACCCGGCCTGACCTAGAGATGGCGATAGTTGTTTGAAAAATATCATTGTATTAGAAAGTATCCAACCTATAAAGCATATGTGTCAAGTTTGAAGACGCTACGTTGTTTAGTATTTGTTTGGCAGCCACCAATACTGTACGTTTTTAGTGAATTTGTGAAAATGGAGAAAATTGGCCATCGTTATGTGGTACAATACTTTTATTTCAAAGGCCTCAGCTCAACCAATATAAAAGCTGAACTGCCGCGATTGCTCACAATCGAGCAAAAACAGTGTCCTGAAGATGCTTCAATTGAGTGTTTAGCGAAGTTTCACAGCAACAAAGCAGAATTTTTGCGTCGTTTCATAACCATGGATGAAACATGGGTTCATCGCTTCACACCTGAGACAAAAGAACAATCAAAACAATGGACTCAAAAGGGACAACCGGCTCCAAAGAAGGCGAAGACCGTTTCATCTGCAGGCAAGGTTATGGCGTCGGTTTTTTTGGATGCGCGTGGGATAATTTTCGTTGACTATTTTGAAAAAGGTAAAACTATCAACGGCGAGTATAATGCGAACTTATTGCAACGTTTGAGCGATGAAATCAAGCAAACACGGCCGCATTTGGTTAAGAAGAAAGTGTTGTTTCATCAAGACAATGCACCAGCTCACAAATCCGTTATTGCAATGGCCAAAATTAACGAATTAAAGTTTGAATTGCTACTTCATGCACCCTATTCACCAGATTTAGCCCCCTTGGATTATTTTCTGTTTCCAAACTTGAAAAAATGGCTCAGTGCCAGTGGTCAAAGATTTTCCAACGATGAAGAAGTGATGTCGGCAGTTAATGGCTATTTTGAGGAGCAAGACAGTTCTTATTATAAACAGGGTATCGAACTTATTGAACATCGCTGGGAAAAGTGTATAGAGCTCAAAGGGGATTATGTTGAAAAATAAATACATTTTTTTACAAAATTGTTGTGTTTTCTTCGTTGGGTCGGGTACTTCTGGGACCACCCTCGGGTATTTACGTCGGGTCATCTATTTCTAGGTGTGTTTCGACCCGCGAAATATCTGGAAAGGCCCCAACGATTTTGACGAAATTTGAAAAGAGGTATGTCGTAGTATACGCTTCTGAAAATGGGTGCAATCGCGACGTGGTTGTTAGTAAAAAACAAATAAGTTCCAGATTGTTCACAAACTTCGTTCTGTTTCCGAAAATTATTTGCGTAGGAAATTGTTTCTTTTCGAATGAAAGAAAAAGAAAACATAACGCACGGCTGTGCATCAAGCTCACAAAATGCTACTTTGCCGCTCGCAATTATCTTTGATCCGGTTTCATTCTGAGAGCTCCGCGAGAAGTTTGCGCTTGAGTATCTCAAACGTATTTTTACTACAATCACATCAGTTTACCTTTTACAAGTGATAAAACCCAGAAAACCATTACCAAACGTTTTAGCTAAATTCTCGCTCTAGATCAGCAAATCTGTTATTTGGGATTGGTCAATTAACTTAATATGCGAGAGTGCAAAAAAATAACACGTACTTTGTTGGTCGGTTGTAGAAGAAAAGCGCCTTTTGATTCAATTTACTTAGAGTTATCCGTCTCCTAAAGACATCACCGTAATAATTACTAAATACTTGTTATTGTTATAGTGGACTATTATTCCAACTCTTTATTTTTCAGGTATCGAGAATCTTAATTTTGCAGACAACAAAGCGGCTGCAAACGAGATCAACCAATGGGTGGAGAAACATACAGACAGCAAAATCCAGAAGTTGATCTCAGCAGAAGACATCACAGAAGACATGAAGCTCGTCCTAGTGAACGGCCTCTACTTCGACAACAAGTGGACGAAGCCCTTTACGGTAGAACGGACGGCAAGAAAACCGTTCTACAGACAGTTGAATGACAGCTCTGATGTTGATATGATGAGACAAATAGAGTACTTCAAGTACTATGAAAATACGGAGTTGAAGGCGAAGTTCTTGGAGTTGAACTATAAAGGTAAGAAAATGGTATGCTTGAATTGAAAGCATGAAAAATCGAATTCATCAAAGCTCTTTACTTTTTACATCGTAATCCTGAAGTCGAGATATTGAAAAATATGTTTTCCATTTCCGTATTTTTGTCTGTCCGCGTATATCCAGGAAACTTAGAACATCTAGCTTTGATTAAAATTTTTTTGGACCACCCAGCCAAAGTCAAAAAAGTCTAGCAGGTTTTAAGATTCGATCAGTTGCAGGCGAAATAAATCATTGATCTATTTTTGTAACTCGGGAAGTGTCACCAGGATTTTGATGAAATTTTATCACGCCTAACTCGTAATATATGGTATGGCAAGTATATATGAAAAAGCTTTGAAGGTTTTGAAATTTGATTTAGTGGCGACAAGTTTTGTTCCAACTATTCTGTAACGGTTTAGTTACTGTAAGTTCGGTGCATGCTTATAAAAGCGTATCAAGTCATAACCGAACGGTTTTGGTACGATACCACAACTCAAGGTTTTTTTTTCACCGAAGTAGCCCCGCAGGCAGAAGCCTAAATGCCAGGACACCGCGGCTGCTATGAGGATCCCAAAGAAACTTCGTTAATCCTATTTTTGAACTGCCTAAAGTTAGTAGAACTGGATAAGCCTCCTATTGTAGTTTGTTATACAATCGCGAAACCCTAGCGACAAAGCAGCGGTCGTATCGGCCAGTTCTGGATGTACGAAGTTCGACGCGGTTAGGATGGGAGGCCGAAGACAGGCGGGTCCAGTGTTGCAAAAAACTGTAAATCTACAGCTTTCCATTTACAGTATTTTTTACGAGTATCTATCGCGGGCCAAGGTCAAAAAGAATTTCCATCAATTTTTTTCCAAATTCACTCAAGGCCAACCAGAACAACAACCGCGGAAAAAGAATTTGCTTCTTGCTTGCATGATCAGTTGCCATTTCCCGCGATAGATACTCGTGAAAAATAGTATATGGCTTACGAATAGCCCACTTCTGACTTAACTTGACTCAAGTTCTTTTCCCAGCGGTTCCGATTTTGACTGATCTTGAGTGACATAAAAATGACAAAATTTTAATTGAATTCTGTCATTTTCAATTCACTCAAGGTAAACCAGAACCAGAACCGCTGCAAAAAGAATTTTATTCAAAATAGATATTATGTATATTTCGATCTGGCAAGTGGTAGATTTTACTAAGACCGAGTTACTGTATAGATTAAAGAAGAAGAAAAAGATGGTGCGAGCATTTTAAACGAAAAACTGTAGATTTGAAGGCCCAAACTAAAAACTTGGAAGATTTTTAAAAACTGGAAATCTACAGTTAAAATTGTAGGCTTGGCAACACTATGCGGGTCTGTCTGGCAGGCAAATTGAGCGGCGACCTCATGGAGGAGAGCTCTGAGGAGCAAAGTCCGTTGGTGTAGCGGTGCGAAAGGGTCCCGAAACTATCTGGTAGAGAAGAGTCATCGATCAGTCGGACAGCCCTACCCTGTATGTCTAATGTAGTCGGGGCGGCAGCATCCCAAACGTGTGAGCAGTACTCGAGGCTAAATCATATCTGGGACAGTACTTCTTGGCCCAAAACAAATAGCTTAGATTTTTCCCTGCAGCTGCTGCTATTGACGAGATATGTTCGTGCCCTATCAAGCCCCATGTGATCTGGACTCCGACCAGCCGAAGCGAACGGCTCTTTGGCAGATCTCAGCCAACCATCGCTAGGACGCTTTTTGTTCGTCAAGGTACAGTACTGCGTTTTAGAAGGACTAAACTGTATAAGATTGTTGCGTCCCCAAGCAGTGGTAATCTCCAGGCCCCTCGTCAGAGACGAAGTCGCCGCAAGTCTTCTTTTTTCCACCTTACTGGCAGAGATTGCCATGTTACTCTGGATTCTTGCATGTAAAGCGCTGTCATCAATCAGCAAAGCTGTGGATTGGATCGATCCCTGGGGAACACCCGCGTTGAAGTTGTGGGAAGTTTGTATAAGCGGGAAGCATGTCAAAGCTGATGGAACGGTTTCGTGATATCAAGAGCAATGACATGAGCCTCACCGTAAGACTGGATGAGTTTACTCCACAATTGCGAGACGTAGGCAAGGAGGTCCCCTGTGGATACTACCTGTCCCTAATCAAGCCGTGAGATTTAAGGTAATCCAGAAACTCGCGATTTATGTACCTCTCCATCACGTTACTTGTAACATAAAGCAGGCCTATGAGCCTGCAGTTGCAAAGGTCGATCTTACATCCCTGTTTTGGGATGTTTCGCCATGTCGTTGCTACAAAACTAGAGTTGTGAGTTATGGGGACCAATTACGAAGCGTACCCAAACATCATTTCATCGTATAAGATGAGGATGAAAATCGTCAAACCATCGGCAGATTTTCACCAACTTGGGCACAATGAGTTTTGAGCTTTTCAAAAGAGCATAACCCGCTAGTTTGCTTCCCGTTTCATCTGTCTACAAGACTAGACCTAATACCTATACCGCAATGATGAGGTGCTAATGAGCATGAAACAGCGCTGTCTGCGGTTGGTCATGATTACAGAGACGGAAAGCAAAACATGTTCGTTTCAGCCGGTCGTTTTTTGATGATTTTTGAAGTCCTGATAATCTAGAGGTGTATTCACAAAGTTTTGGGGACTAAATCTTCAAAAAATTCTGGAACTTTGAATTATTAAAAGGATTTAAACATTCGGATCTTCAACAATTCAAATAAATAAATATAAATAATTATATTAAATTCAATCTTTTTTCAGGAAATAATGTGAGTATGGTGATCGTGCTGCCCGATGAAAATGTAGGCTTATCTGCCCTGGAACAAAATATTGAAAAAGTACTGGAGCCTCAGCCATACGAAATGCAAAGAGTGGACCTCAGCTTGCCAAAATTCAGCGTGGAATCAAAAGTACAGTTTGTGCCCATTTTAGAAAATGTAAGTCCGAGCCATAATTAGTTCACTGTATTCATTTTTTCCGGGTGATGTGAATAATTTACTTTATCATGCCATTTTTCAGCTTGGCGTAAACAAGTTGTTCAGCGACAGAGCCGAACTGAAAGGATTTTTATCGGAACAAGTAGTGCAACTTCACGTATCGTTAATAGTTCAGAAAGCGTTCATAAATATAACCGAAACTGGAACCAGGGCTGCTGCAGCTACTGGAGGTGAGATATCCATCTAAACTGTAGCTTAATTTTTTGACAAATAAACCGCCTAATTAAAAAAAGATATCTTTGGAGATTTTTCAGGAAATGCGGAAGTTTTTTACAGGCCACAAAATAAGCAAATTAGGGTTCTTATACGAGTATGTTGAAATATAATATTTGAGATTTTGCTTGGGAGAAAATCTTACTTCAACAGTGTGCTGAAAAACGAAGATATTTTCTAGAATATTCAGCTGTTTTTGAAAATTTCGGAATTACTATATGTTGTTACACAATTTGCGCTTGCAAGGTTTACATTCCGATGTCATTAGCTTTTTAAAGCCAAAAATAAGATAAAAGAGCAGTGCTTCTTTGTTATTGTAATTTTCGAGAAAAAAAAACATTAAACGACATCAGCTTCCTCAACGTAACCTCCTTTCCTCTAGCGTCACTATCTTCTTCCACTACCTTTCCGAATTTTATGGCAATATCTTGGTCTTACATAAGATTTTCCTTTTCGGAAATTTATACCAGTCGTCTCACAAATTTAATACTCGTATATGTGGGATGAACTCTAAGTCTGACACGTGGTGTGTAGCAGCGCACAATAAACATGCAATAGTTTGACTTTGGATCTTGTTTGCATCAAATTGCATTTCAATGTGTACGAGAGAGAAGCGTGGAAAGTGTATGTTAAATAGTGTCAGAAAAAGTGTTGATGACCTTTTTTGCTGTCGTTGGCAGGCAACCTGGTGACTACTTCTGGTCGCACTCTTTCTAACATACGAGTTGCACGATTCTCTCGCTCATGCGCATAGAAACCTGGTCGACCTCAACCGTAAATGATTCGTACGGTAGGTATGTACACATGTACATATAGCTAGTGCTATTATGTGACAGACCGTTTCAAAGTAGATTTCTGATTATTGCGGAGAGAAGAAACATAAAGCTGTGGCAAGTTCTCATATACAGAAAAATCCATAAAGCTCTGACGTCGTAATGTGTACAAGTGAGAAGGGCGAGAAGCATGCAATGCGTATGTTAGACAGAGATAGGAGCACCACGTTGCCTAGCAACCCGAGTGACGAGGCAACGGATGGCAGTTGCGCTGGCTTGCGGCTTTGCCATCGGAGCATTCTTTCTAACATACTTATAACCCTATATTATTCATGGCATGCTGGCATTGAAAAAGGGATTTGAAATATACTAGCGCCATCTGCGAGATAGTATCATAACACATTTAGAAATCCACTTTGAAAAGAGTTAGTGTATTTGGTTCTTCTGGTGTCCCAATATGGCAGTGGGATCTTCAATCCCTCTCTAATGCCTATTTCAATTGAGTATTCTCAGCAACTGATTAAATTTTCTGGTTCCACATGAAGATACCCACGTGAAGTAGACAAAGAGGATTAAAAGGTGATGAAGATCACAGCGCACTATAAGATAGTAGATTAGCAGAACCAAACATCCTATCTCTTTCACCCAAACAGATTTCTAAATTTATTTCTGTATTCTGCTACTGTCATATAGATCTTTATTTATTTTTGTATTCTGCTACTATCATATAGATCTTTCAGTCCCCTTTTATAAACGGCGCAATACAGTATCTTCAGGTAGAATACGTTAATCAATGCTGATATAGTCGAAATCACTAAAGATTACGATTACGTCATCATTTTAGTCTGTAGTAAAGACAAACGACAGTTGTTAAAGCAGGTTAGGTTGTTCTCGAATAATAATTTGGTCATTGGTGTTCCTGTCTTGAGGTATTCTACTCATAACTGTAGTTTTTTTTTTCAAAACAAAAACGCCCCAGTAAAATTATTATTAAGGCATCACTCAAAACCATGAAATAAAATGAAAATAAAAATAAACTGTGAAATAACCTAACTTCGCAAAATGATAATATAAGTTTGTTGTTATTATGTTTCTGAAATCGTGATTTTATCATAGACGTGCGTCAATTGATTACTTCAGTACAATTTATGGGATGACGTAAGAGTCATCTTTCGTGACTTTGACTATACTTAACTCCGGTGCAGAAGAAATATATGGGGGCTCATTAATCAGACAGATCAACTTTCTTCATATTATGATCTTAAGGTTTTGCTATCAGAACTAGCTGAACCTTGGCGGTCAAAATATTTTTGAAATTCAGAGATAAGCAGGTATTCGAAAAATTGATATTTGTTTACAGTTGAGCTATGTCCAAGGGCTTGCTCTACTGACGAACCAGGAGACCACGTATTCTTGGCTGATAGACCGTTCCTCTTCTTCATCAAGAAGTGCGACGTAGTTCTTTTTGCAGGAAAATACTGCAATGTGTGATTTCGAACTTACTTTCCTTAGGCTTAAGATGAACTACTCATGACTGAATGTGAATTTTATTTTTTAGTAATAAATTTTACAAAAATATGACTTATTTTTAAATTCACCTTGAACACAAAATCGTCAAAATATATACATGGGAATTTGCTACCAGGATCGCAAGAACACGATGGAGGCATGGAAAAGTCTTCTATGAAGTTGAGTCATTAATTTTCAGATAATGATTGTAGAAGGAAGATAAACCAAAATATGTGTGTAAAAATAAAAAAAATAACCTTGTTTTATAAAGTATCCTCCCGACAAGTATTTCAGTGCGGACCTGTATTTGATCGTGAGGTCTTGGAGCACCGGCATGCCCTCCCCTGTGAGGTCTTAAGTCACCTGATTCACGAGCCCGTTGTACTACATTAACAAAGGCACGACGGGTTGGTTGCACTCGATTGGGAAACCGATCCGCATAAACATGTGCCATTTTTTATTTCGTTTGAGCCACGCAGCAAACACCACTATTCACTCACGCGTTACCGACTGACACATTGACTGAATAAAAACATCGTGATCAGCGTTTCAAATTCTTTCGCTTTTTTGTTTCCGATGCGATGAACCGATAAGGCGGATTATATCCGTTGTTGCCAAACACGAGCACATAATATTATTATTGAGACAGGGCGGTACTCAAACTTCTAAAGGGCTATAACTTTGTTACTTTAATTTTACCACAAAAATGTTAAAGGAAAAAAACATTTCTTTTGATCAGATCTGTTAAAATAAATGACTCAATGAAGTCACCCTGATATATAGCGCTGTAAAACTGGCGGGAAATTCAAACTTCTTGCAAGATAGCCTCTTTCTAATTCAGTTTTATAGGTGAAGAACTTTACCTGACCATTTTCTATCGAATCTTAAGAACGCGACGAAATCTGTAATGGTGTTTGAAATCCAATTATTAAACATTGTTAGTAGGATCGCAGAAACGCAAGTCGTTATGGATTCGGCATTATTCTCTAAAATTCAAACCTGGAATGATGACCTTTGGCTGATTCTATGCCTCTGATACAGAATATGTTGCAGGTACTTCAAATTCTAGCCATGTAGGTGTATATTTATTACCAGAATCACAGAAAAACGGAGAGGTATGGAACCGACGTCGGTGCTCCTGATATAAAATTCCTCAGTCTTTCACTTGCAGAGTTTTCGGATTCTGGCCATGAATATTTGTTAACAGAATCACAGAAACGCGGAGAGGTATGGAACCGATATCAGTGCCCCTAATATGAAGTTCACGAGAAGTGCAGACTCCTTACCCTTTCACCTCTCAACAATTCTTTAACCCTGATCCAGAATTTTTATTTCACGAAAGCAGTGCATGAGGCCAGGCGTCCCTTGTAGGATTTGAAAAATAGGGATGAATATTTATCACCAAGATCAAATAAACGCCAAGAGGTATAGAGCCGACATCGTACTCCTGATAAAAATTTAAAAACGTACATAAGATCAGGCTTTATGGCAGTTATATTCCGTCTCACACGAACGCGTTCGTTTAGAAGTGATCCTTTTTTATAGATTATTCATAATGGAAATTCAAGTTGTAGGAATAGAGATGACGGTGAGAAGTACGTTCAGTTACAATGTATTGGTTGGCTATCTACTTCTGATGATCCTATGCCATAGAACACAAATTACATGCATTTTAAGTTGATAATGTTGACATGTGATTGGCAGTATCGATATTTGGGTTCCATGCAAAAAATGTAAATAGTAAATACCTATAAACTTGCTTACAAAAATTTTGAAATTAATTGCCGAATTATCGTCAAAATGGGAACGTGGACATTAGAGGTGGCAAGAATGGCACTTTACATATCCTTTCCTGTTGCAATGTTCTTCTATTTCAACCAACCGCAATATTTTGAAGAATGGGTTGTGAAGACGAAGCGCGAGCTTTACCCCCCAGAAGACAAGGAAAAGAGGGCGAAGTTCGAGAATGCCATCAAGGCGATTAAGCAGAAACAAGAATTGATACTCCTGGCGCAACTGGAAAATAAAGGAGACTCTTAAATTTGTTTTTATCGATAGTTTGAACGTTTTGTTTTTAGTAAACTTGAATAGAGACAATGTTGATTTTTAGCAGTGTTTTCAATTTTGCGTTCCTTTCAAATACGCGGTAGCGCAAAAAATACTCCATTTTATAAAGAAAATGCAGGGCAGGGTGAAATCCGCGACCCTACTTTTAAAGACTAAGTATGAATATGTTAGCGCCTCCGTTTATAATGTTTTACGGGAATACAAGGTATTTTATTATTCTTATAATTGTTTTCGATCACTAATTATCGCGTCTCAACACTCCGCTAGTCTGCCGAGTCCGGCGTTTTCCTGCTAGATATGCTAGAAGAAGGCTTGCAATCTAACAGCCATCGATCACATCAGCAAGTAGTTCTCACTACCAAGTAATTTTTTATTAGCGGCATTTTGCTTGTGAAACATGTTTCACTAAGTAATATCATCTGAAATCAACAAGATGTTGGAATCATTAAATCACCGCAAGGCGCCCCTGACAAGTTCAGGCCGTCACACGACTGTGTTTACATCACTATCTTGAGGTTAGATGGAGTTTAGGATAACAGCAGTGGTGAAAGGTATTTGTGCAGTAATTTTGATGCCATTCCCATATCTCCTGGCATTTTTATGATCCTGGTAGAGGAGTTCAACCAAACTTTTGCATGGAAGATGTGAAGTTATGGACATCCAATGAAGGTTCTGTACCAGGATAACAGAAGCAGTGAGAGGTATTGTTGCATGAGTGAGGATTTTCCACATTTTATATAAGAAATGCGATGGTTCTACACCTTGCATTTTGTAATATCCTTGTAACAAATTTCAACTTGTAATTTTAGACGATTTGGAATACAGTTTTAAGCCCACGAAGATTTTCTGCTAGGTAAACAGAAGTAACGACACATGCGGTGATTTTGAATTTCCCGCTAATTTTATAACGGGTAAATAGTTTTACGTGTAAAATTTTGAGGGAGCAAGAGGTAGTTGTACAATAATTTTGCATTTCCCCCAAGTTTATATCAGGAGCGCGACACAGGTCCTATACCTTCTTGGGGTTCTGTTATTCTGATAAAAGGAATGCTTAACCCTTAACTACCATGGCCAAAAACAGTAACATTTATACCATGGCAAGGTCAAATTGTAACCCATTATTTTTTGTTCACATAAAAAATCCAATTTTGTACCTTGTTTTTATGTTAAGTTATTTTGTTTTCAACTAGTTTTACAATTTTATGAAATAAAACGAATATGGCTACATTAAAAAAAAACTTCGGTATCCAGTGAAATTAATAAAGTTGTGCACTTTCGAATATTATAAGAAAAATTATACAAAATTTCAGTTTTCTTGTATTCAGTGCTGCCTAAAATAAAAAAAAATGATTTAGATTTCGTATCTAAAAAATAACTAGCATGTTTTTGACCCTACTTTTCAATACAACTTATGCATAAAGTCTTCGTGCGGGCATGATTTTTGAAAATGAATTCTCGACATTTATCCAACGATGAGCTTTCTTTCTTCTTGATTTTTAGACTATGGCCATATTTTACACCTTCCCCTCCACTGGTTCCTGAAGTCCGGAAACTTTATAAATGACACTACGAAGCTTTCTCGGTAAACATGCTGAGCTCTACGAGTCAAATGGTCCTTAATAAGTTCTTGACCTAAAGTGGTTAGAAATCATTTTTTGCGCCTCCGCTCCAAGTTCTTTCTGTGTCAGAGCGCGTGTATTGCCATACACCCCGCCATTTCAAATTACTCGCTACTCGCACTATAAACACTTATACCATAAACGGGCCAAATTTGACTCTACATGTGCCTAACTTTGGAGTGGTAACAGGTAAATTAATGGAATTTTTGTGGATCGATGAATCACCTACCGATCGAAGATTAGCAGAACGCGCGCAGCGCGCCATAAATATTTCAGTAGCGAAACTTGGCATACAAAACGTGGAGGGTCAATGACCCCGCCATGGTACTTAAGGGTTAAAATTAAACACATGATATTCTAAAACTGCAGGTTTTTATTTTACCTACACAAACGGCAGTGGAGTTATACAATCTTAAGTACTATGAACAAAACTACTGCTTAGACTAATTACAAAACTTTTTCAAACACTAAAACATGTTTTCCTATTCTAGATGACAAGGGTACATCTGTGTGGAAAAACTGATGTATCTGCTTGTACCTGAAAAATAATAAATGTTAACATAACTTCTGAAACCTATCCTGTGGTTGGGTATTGGCCAGTAATAAATCGAGTGTGATTTGAAATATTGACAAGCACAATAGAGATGGAACATTAATTAGGTCAAACATGCTATGAAAGCTTCTCACCTGGTCAAAATGTCTCTTATCAAAGGCTCCAAGTTGTCAAAAATGATTATATGAGAAGGCAAGACTCCAGTTGGTGGGTAATATTGCCTCAACCATTTGATAGGGCTATTGTAAAAATGATCTGCTTCATCTACATATCCTTCTACATTATTAAAATTTGGAAGACAAGTCAGAAATCTTGTTGTCACATTCACGTGTAGATGGCTGCAAAGAAAGATATTAAAGATAGTTATTCAATGTTTTGAAGTAGGAATAGCGAATAGGAGGTAAAATATTCCACATACTGTCTGGCTCACACAAGCTTATCAGCAAATTAATATATTGGATTGTACATAAATATGGGACATATGGACACGACAAAAGCTATCATATTGTATAAAAAATCAAATATTTCAAAAACTAGACGGTAGATTTAGTACAAATTTTGAAGTAACGTTCTAATGCCTTGTAAAGATTTATATGATTGGTTTTTATAAAGTTTTGTTCACGTCTAATTACCTGTATAAAGGGGTTGAATGACACGGCATCAAAAACAAAAAATGCGTATTATTAGGATCTTTCTGAGCAATTTCTCTAAGCGGCTGCATGACATCTAGTGTTCCTCTTTGATGTACCATTCCCAAATACCAAGCAGGCATTGCATTACCAAAGAAAATTACAGCTGCCACTACCCATACTCCTAGACTGAAGAAAAAATTGATGTACAGAATGTCCCAAAATAATATTAACCTTTAATTTAAATATATGCCCATTGATATCTATGTATATCATGGCGCTATTTGTTACAACGAAATGCATTCATCAGCTAATAGAAAGTATAATGAATGATCAGGGTTTTTAGTGGGTATAACCCTTGATTAATATCCAATTTAATTTGTACAAACTGTTTTGAGTATTCTGCCTGAAACTGAGCCTGAACTGGAATTTTTCAATTATTTGTAAGAAAATGTACGAACTTAGTCGGTTAAGGAACCGAATTTTTTGTCAGACACTACCTGAGTATATTTATTTATGTTGATCACCAACTGGTAGTGACAATGTTGCCATCTCTTGGTCGCAGGTTATGGAAATCCCTTTACCCATTATTTATTCCAAGGTTAATGTCATATTCAAGAATAAACAATTAACTTTTAAAGGGGTATGGAGTCTGTTGTTATGACTTCTCAGGTAATTACTCTGATCATACTTGGCAACATGGCTTGGAGAATTAATTTAATGGTATGATCACCTGTTAGTGAGTCTGGCAGAAGGATAGAAGTTGAAAAGACTGTATGCCAAGACCTCACATACTTTCTTTTTGAGCTAACTTGACTGCACTTCAAAAAGTCAATATGTACTTTATTTTGAGTTTTGAGATAGTATGAGAATACTCACGTGCTGGCTTTTCTACTCCATGCTGAGAGGAATCTGGAGGACACATAAAAAACCAGTGGCAATAATGGAAGAATGAATCTAAACTCCTTATGAGGTAAAAAGCTGAAACAAAGCATTTTGGTATAGTATCTGAGATTAAATTAGATACATTAGATATGTATGAGAATATGCCGCAGCCACGAATCTCTTCTCCACTCTAATTATAAATCTACTTTCAAAAGCGTCTCATAGATGGCGCTACAGCCTAACTGTATGTGAGTATATAGCTACAACGCCATCTACGAGACACTAACCTTTTCAATGTAAATTTCTTATCATTGTGGAAAGGTGAAATTCTCATACGACGTGAGGGTGACGATACAGTATCTCATTTAATACCGGATAGGCTGGCTACCTTCAGATAGAATAAGTTAATTTTATTGAAAAGCATTGTAACCGGAAATGTGGATAGAAATTTTGAAAAATTTTACAACAGTGTCAACCAGAGGCGGATCTAAAATGACACACACGACGCACTGTGTGTCGGGCAAGAGGAACACTCCAGTACCCCCCCAACCCTGCCCATGCTCTGCAAATGTCACCAGCAGGCACTCATACAAATTTCATGCTTCAGGTACCAGAGATCATACATCAGCCACTGGTATCAACTAAAATGAAATGTAGAACTACAATGAGCATATAGTTTTTAACACTCTAAGCTCTTGGAAAACTATTTTAAAAATCATCTATGATAAAACATAAAACACTTTTTACCTGTACACCAGTAAAGTAAATACCATAGTCCCAAGTATCACTAGCTCATTTGGATGTGAAGATCTATTCTTGAGCACTACTAGACATGCCATAAAGAATGGTAAGAACTGTATACCAAGAATGGCTGGAAATCCAGTGGATAAATACCAATGCCAAGGTTGTATTCCATAAAAGGTACCAACATCTTGGAACAGGTTGAATTTTATGAACTCATAAGGGGTTATGATGAACCTGCCATATACTAGGCTATCAATGAGGATTGATAGAGAGAGGACTGAAAGCCTGAAAACAGATTTAGGAAAAAAAGTTTTTGTAACCAACTACACCACTAGTAAAAATATTTCTTTGATTCCTTACTCACCCTATAGGTACATATCTCTGTATTATTACATAAAATGAATCTTCTTTATTCATAAGCAAGTGACAAATGCATAAGGGAAGCCAAATTATAGCAGATGTTGGTCTCATCACAAATAAAAATGCAGCTATCCAGATGAATTTTGAATTATCTTCTGGGAAAAGAAGAAAGCATCATGTCAGAAACATTCAGAATAACTGCATGAAACAACACATTTTCTCATATTTTTGAATGGGTTATATAAAATAACCATGCTATTTACATTAATCGTGAATATCTTACCTATATTTTTTCCTGGCCATGGATACTTTGACAAGGCTATAGTTGTCAGGGAGCACTCCAATGTGTTTATAAGTGTTCTGGAACCTGTATAGAACCAGAACCATGAAGTAGCCAAGCAGAACACTGCCCATTTTTTGGTACCAGACCACTTATAGAAAGACAAGTCAGATATTGCACTTATCACTGCTTGTAAAATTCTTGGTGAGTATATCTTTAAAGAAAAAAGTAGTTAGTCAAATCATATTATTGACATATCTTTATTTTCTATAAATTATCTACCCTTAGAAAACATTTTATTGCAGTTGAAGCATGCTTTTAATGAAATTCCTCTTTTTAAAATACTTATAAAAAAAAGAAAAATGTTGTTACCTACTCTTTAGCTCTTCAACATATTTCTAAATTCTCATAATTATATATCTATTTTAAGGAGTTTGGCTAATACCTTTATACAGGGTGACTTTGAAGTTGAGTCATTAATTTTCAGATAATGATTGTAGAAGGAAGATAAACCAAAATATGTGTGTGAAAATAAAAAAAAATGTTACCTTGTTTAATAAAGTATCCTCCCGACAAGTATTTCAGTGCGGACCTGTATTTGATCGTGCGGTCTTGGAGCAGCATGCCCTCACCTGTGAGGTCTTAAGTCACCTGATTCACGAGCCCTTTGCACTACATTGACAAAGGCACGAGGGGTTGGTTGCACTCGATTGGGAAACCGATTCGCATAAATCCGTGATGCATCCGGGAGCATTTTGTAAAGACTGCCCCCCCGTAAATAAGAATCATGTCCACAAGTTCAGCATTTTCGTAAACATGTGCCATTTTTGATTTCGTTTGAGCCACGCAACACACTACTATTCACTCAGGATTTATCGACTGACGAAAAACATCGTGATAAACGTTTCAAATTCTTTCGCTTTTTTGTTTCCGATGCGATGAACCGGTCAGGCGGATTATATCCGTTGTCGCCAAACACGAGCATATAATAGGCAGGGCGGTAGTCAAACTTCCAAAGGGCTATAACTTCGTTACTTTAATTTTACCAGAAAAATGGTAAAGGAAAAAAACATTTCTTTTGATCAGATCTACTCACTGTTAAAATAAATGACTCAACTTCGAAGTCACCCTGTATATATTTTTGGACTCATAGTTATACCAGCTGTTTCTTATTCAACTACATTAAAATTGAAGGAATACTCACCAATACTTCTGCAGTATCTAGTCCCACAAGGTTCAAGATCTTGTACAAGAAAGCTATAATCAATGGGGGAATGTAACTTCGTATACCTTTCGACCATTCCCATGTTAGATATCCATAGTTATAAACTAAGTTATGAGCAACTTCTAACGACTGCCAGTATTCATCAGGTACGAAAAAAGTTTGTACTAAAAATAATGAGGCTATTCTTATCGTTAAGAATATAAAAAACACGTCTAGATTCTTCATTGCACTGGTTAGTTAAATTTCTGAATGGAAAGTTTCAAAATTTGTGGGAAAATGATTAAAGCATGGTTCAAACTACGATAAAGAGGTTAGTCTATTAATATTGTAGGAAAAATTATAAAAATAGAATCCAAAATCCCTCTATTTTAAAAGCATTATTTTCGGTCGATTTGTTTATGCACGAAGGCTAGGTTATGTAAGATGTCAAGTTGATTTATCATCTTTCAGTTCTATGCACTGAAAAATTAGAGAGGGAGTGATTTCACCACTATGGCACAAGATGAGACAAGTAATCTTGTACAAAATTTCCAACGTTAGAAGTTGATAAGCATTAGAAGTATTTTACATACTTGACAATGAGACTGTAGAGCATTTTCTTACAACACATTGCCAAGGAACTGGACAATTGGTACCTATGTGGTTGCTAATATGCTTCACATGATATTGCTTCGTAGAGATAAAGATGGCTGCTTTTATTTTTGTGTGCTGAGCCTATTTAAAATCTTATGCTCCTGAAACTCATCATTTTCTATGCTCTATACAACTGATGCGTGACGTTTGCGCTCTGTGCTAGATCTAACCTAAAAATTACACAATTAAAAACATCCTTTAGTTTCTTGCAAATAATGAAATTGTGCACAAATATTCTTCGCCCGCTTGTTCGGCCGTCGTATACTAGTGTAAAGTATTCTACTGTTCCAGCTGCCCAAGATAAAGTTGGTAAGTACTCTTGCTTAAACTAGGATCTTGAAATTACAATTCATACCTTTCCAGTGGAAGCCACCAAGAATCAAGACATTTTATCACATCCAGACTACTTCAATGTACATAATTTGTTCACTGTTAAAGATTTATTCGACGCCAGAGTGCATTATGGTCATAAGGAAGGGTCACTTAATCAAAGAATGCTACCCTACATCTATGGAAGTCGGTTAGGACACACTATATTTGACCTCAACATAACTGCAGAATACCTTCGATTGGCATTAAATGTAGCTGCCCATATTGCATATAGAGACGGTTTAATTCTATTTTTCCTTAGGGGAGCTCAAAATGCTCATCTAGTAGAGCAAACAGCAAAAGAGTGTGGCGAATTTGCACACACAAGGTTTTGGAGAGGTGGCATATTCACTAATGCCAACACACAGTTTGGAGCTGTTACTAGATTACCAGACCTTTGTATATTTTTTAATACATTGAACAATGTATTGATCCAACATACTGCAGTCAGGGATTCAGCAAAAATGGGTATTACAACAATTGGCATTGTTGATTCTAATTGCAATCCAAATCTCATCACTTACCCAGTGCCTGGTAATGATGATTCACCTGCAGCAATAGCATTGTACTGTAAGCTTTTCAAAAATGCAATTTTGAGAGGTAAAGAAAAACGAAAGGAACATTTTAATGAAAAATAGTGTATTTACTGGTATAAAATTGTAAGATATATAAAACATGAACTTTTGTAAAGTATAATTAACAATAATGTGTAATAAAATTAGCAACAACCTCGTGTGTTCTATGTTAGTAAGTTGGAAGAGTGATTAAAGAAAGGTCTGAAGTTATAACTCTCAGCCCAGGTGGAATTGCATCTGATTTTCATGTGTTCATGAATCGATCACGATTATAATAAATCTCTTATGACTCCCTCTATGGGTCAAGAGGCTTAGGTTTGCTTTTCTTAATTTTTACTACATGATCAAATGCTCTATTCATGAAATATGTAGCAATACGAAATACATTTTTTTGTACCTCAAGGAATTTGAACCATAATACAAGATCAAAAAAATTTGGTCCTTACCAGGACTCAATGATGTCCAAATCTCTTTTTTTTCATCAACCACTAGAACCAAAGTTTACAGATTTGTAATTGTTTTACTACTACAACTGCCAGGAGTCATAACTGTTTTAGGGAACGAGAGTCAGCAAAACTGTTTCTTCAAAGAAAGGGTCACTGCTTTGCTGCTAAAACAACTAGTCACCTGAATCATAGGCAAGAAAAGTATAGTTTGACCCCTTTCTTTAGTGTTCTATATGCTTTGCTTCCGATGAACATGATTGGCAAAAACATGTGGTGTTATATCAGATGCTATTTCCATCTAACACTGAGAAGTGGTTAACCCTCTAACTTCTGAAGTTTAAAGATAAGACATTTCTATTATGCAAACTATCTGGACATTAACATCTACACGGGAAGAACACATTAATCAATGCTAGAATAAAAGGTGTTTAAATGGTTAGTTGTAGTTTAGAGTATTAGTGAACAAAAAAGAAAAGGAGTAGCTAGATCTATTACTGCTACTACTACTAGGCATGCATAGACAGATTGGTCCCTTCACCAGTGAGAAGTCAGTCTTTTTTGTTAATCTGGAAAAACAGCCTTAGTTGATATAATTTAGAACATATGTGTGTTTATAAAACTCAAAATGCTGCACTATAAACTATGATAATAATATGTGTATGGTGTAAATGTAATTGATTTTCTGGTAAGAGGTGACAGTGACATTATAGTCGTAATTACAACCTTAAGCTATGGCTAACACATTATTAGTGCAACATTATTTTTTCAATTGCTCTTCAAAAGAAGGAAGATTCATGACGTCACGTGTTACCTTTCTACCGTTGATCTGAGATTAATTATACTACCATGCATAGAAAAACAGATGTCAACACAAAATAATTATCTATAAGGCAAACAAAATTGAAATACGTTCACTAGACAATAAAATTATAATATACTGTAAATCAACTAATTCAGTTAAAGATAATATTTATGTACGCATTATTTTTATTTTATAAACACTTTTCTACGATTTCAAATTCTCTTTTTAGCAAGAAAAACTAAATTTTCAAAATTCATCATAGAGTGAACATCTTGTCACAGTATTAGGGATTTATCCTTCAAACGAATTTACAGTATCCAATTTCATACTAAGAAAAATTTAACAGAAAAGAGTTCTAATAAAGATTTTTGAACTAGAGTTAAAAGACATTACTATGTTCATAAGAAAGCGATTTTTAAAAGAAAGTATGTGAAAAATAAACAAGTGAGTAAATTCAATACCCCTAATCACTTTGATAACACGTTTTACACTGAATATTATAAAATCAATGAAATTTTCAAGTTAGATGTTTTAATGGTATCACTAATAATGCTGATAGAGAATACTGACTATACAAATCACGAATAAATGGCACATAAAAAACTCGGAAACCAATAATAAAATAACATAAAATACAATAGCCTGCAAATGATATTTTTAGGTTCATACAATATTTACCTCATCTTTCGAGTCTCGCAGTTTATATAGGTAGTTTGGCCCTAAAATTTTCAGCACCCTGAAAAATGCAATAAAACATAACTTCAACAGGAGTGCAAGCATTATCATATCGCCACCAAAAATTGGAAAAATTATTCAAAAATATAAAGACTAAGGTCCACAAAGTATTCGATAGCCAATTAGTGTTTTGTACTGAAACTGCATTAGTAATTATGTAGTCTTGACAGAGATTTTCAGATAGGATAGATATACTTACACGCCAGATATGACAGGGAAATAAACCATCATATAAGTGAGAGGTATGATAGGCCGGATAGCTATCCAAGATTCTTTGGTTTTATTAGCTAATGCAACAGCGTTCAGGTACCCACAACGCTCTGCTGTCATCCTTTTGTCTGTTGGTTGAACTGACACTCCATATTTCTTTAAAATTAATGTTTCTTATGAGCATAATCTTAGTGCTAAGACGCTTGGTCCATAGTCAAGGGGATCATCTGACGAATCTAATATATGACGAGTGAGATTTGAAAAGACAGATCTATATGCAGATGATTATCTCCAAGAAGACATCAAACCTCATGGTATATAGATTTATTTTTTCTCTTAAAGAAAACCGTTCATTCTCAAACGTGACGTTAATCTTCAGGAAATGTTACTCTTAAGTCCTAAGATTTCAAATTCTCAGGATTTCTCAATGACAGAACAGGAAATCCCATAATCTGTGGTATATATTGTAGTGTAAACATGTTATCAGAAAACAACATGGATTTATGAACAAAAGATCTTCAACAACTAACTTATGCTGCTCCATGAATTATCTATAGTTTGCTCTAAATCAATAACAATTTGACATTATATTTATGAATTTCTCAAAGGCATTTGATCAAATATATCACTCCATTTCGCTTAAAAAAGTGTATAGATTTCGATTTTGTGCGAGCTTGTTGAGTTTTTTCTGTACGTCTTTATCTGAACGCGTTTGTGCAGTATAGCAGATTTAAATCACAATCATTCACACCAACAACAGGAGAGGCCTCAAAGTAGAAAACCAAATGTTTGCGAATCATCTGAAATAACTCAGCAATTCATGGACAAGGCAGCTCAGAGCTTTTGCAGAAAAATTTAGACCATTACAATATCAAAACAAAAATTACAAGGTGAAGTCCTTTTTTCAGGATGAGCAAGCATTTCATCCTTCGTTTTTTTTTTTGCTTGTCCTAAAATGTTCACGTTCTAAGCAGTTTTTTCATAGATATTCGAACGGCTTAATTGACATCCAATATTGTTGGTAGTGAAAACTGATGAAGAAAATAAATGTTTTCAAAAACTTGAGACAAACAAAACTTTGCATCTTGTTTAATTTCGTTCTCGAAAACTACTTTGTATTTTATGGCTTTTTACGTTGCGTTAATCAATAGTTATGGTTAGGGGTGACCCATTCATCTATGGACCTCAATTGATGCAGAAATTTGCACACTTTCTTGTATCGTATACCTCGCCTGGTTTATCAGTGAAGCTTTCAGCCAAAAAATTGGTGTATGTCGGCCCTGGACACAACAAAGTCACATGGATATTCTGTGGAAGTTTTTCAATTCTCAGCGCATTGAAGTAACCCTGTAATTATTGTAAAATATAAGGAAGTGAACGCGATCGAACAAATCCCATTTGCGACTTACATGTTCAGAAAATTTAGTGCCACAATATGAACCAGAGTAAGGTACACCCATTACACCAGCAAGACTAGTGACTACAGCAATATGACCACTTCCTACTCTGTTGAAATGTTCCAAAGCAATTCTAGTCAAATTTACAGGACCAAACACATTCAGGTCGAACATTTGCTTGTCCACTTCTAGATCAATATTTTCCCAGAGGGCTCTCTGCGATCTGTAGGTGAAATCAATTATTTCGATTACGTATAATATCTAAAAATGAACATTCCGAAAAAATATCAATATTAATAGATGATTAGCAAGATAAATCATTTTCACACGCGAATTTAACGAGGATAAGGTGAAAAGTGATCTGCTTGACATGGCGCTCCAATCAGCGAAATTTTATAATTCCTGCACGGGCACACGTTATTTATTCATATAACAACTTTCAACTTGGTCTATCAAGTAGTTTATCTACATGATTTTTTGTAGTAAAAGCCTTGCGCGGTTTTGATTTTAATGGATAATCTATGCTATGCTGCCTCAATGTACGTGTGAAGAAAAAAGTTTGCTACCCAGCTTCATGAAGTGTAATTTTCAAGAACATCCAGAGAGCCTACAGCACTACCCGAGGTCAGCACAGCATGCACCGAAATATCCGCGGACGATAACGAAAAAGCTCGATGATTACTTTAAGGAGAGTAGATAAGTTTGAACTCGCTCGAGCCATTTGCTAGTTTTTTCTACTGTATTCAAAAAATGGAAGACATTAATTTCGGGCAACGGTGTGCTGTCAAGTTTTGCTTCAGACTTGAGCATAGTGCAATTCTTGCTAAACTTCAACAGGCCAACGTTGATAGTGTTTTGTCAAGAGCCTAGGTTTTTCGGTGGTTTAAGGCATTTTCAAAAGGGAGAGAGTCGATTGAAGATGAACCATTAAGGATAAGGCCTCCAAGAACAGTCTCATTATTCGCCTGACTTGAGCCTTGTGATTTTTTCTCTTCCTGAAGTTGAAAAATCACCTCAAGGGAAGTTTGGGACAGTCGAAAAGGTTCAAGAGTTGTAACACTGCTATGAGGTGGAGAAGGACCATCTTCAGCGCTGTGTGGCTTTGCAAGCAAGTTATTTTGAGGGTGACAATATAAAATTGTAATTATATTTGGATAAAGAAATAGTCTCATGACTTAATATGCAGAACTCATAGAAAGAGCTGAACCACTTATCAACAAGTATCCTATATCGGGATTAAACAAAACCACGCGAGTAGCTGAAATAGGTTCTTTTAGACATATTCTGGAGGCAAATATGACTAAACCCGAGCAAAAATATAAAATCTCTTAAACTGTTGATGCAGTTACTGCGAGACCTGATTTTCGATCAAGGTGATATTTCTCCGAATTTTAAAAACTCTTCAAAATTGTTCTCACTCTTCCATCTAATAGTGCAACTTGTGAGAGGTGATTTTCCACAATGCGTCTAATTAATAATTGGCTAAAACCTTCAATAGGCCAAGAGCGATTTTCAGAAGTAGCTCTATTGTTTACACAATCTGTGAGGAAATAGTTTTCACTCAATTTCCAATTTTCTAGTTGTCAAGGGCTCTCCTAAACATTACAAGAAACTGCCACTAACCGCTCTTCAATATTCAATCACTGAATAAGTTTTATGAAGAAATTTACTATTTTTGAAAACACACCTAAAATGATAGTCAAGTACATCACTGAACATTTTTTGAATATCTTAAAAAATGACAAAGTTATGCTACCCAGTAGTTTATACTCTGAAAACCAAATTTTGTTGATGGACGCGAGTTCAATGTGTACAAGATAGAAGTGGGTAACCCACAAATGTTATAAAGAGATAGAAGCCAGCTGATGATCTAAGATCATCACCAATATGTTACACAAATTCCTTGAATTAAGATGCATATTGAAAATATGCATTAGTTTATTCTGTATGTCCAAATAACGGTTTAATTTTGAGGCTACACATTTTTGAACTGTGTCAACTCTGTTTAGGATCGATTCCAGATCAGTCGGTATCCATCTATACAACTGAATGAAATCAATTATTTACTGCCAATTGCAGTCTTTTAGTATCAGGGTGAGAAACGTTCACCCTACCCTTGTATTATTAATGAAATACTCACATGTGGTTGTTTTAAGATACTTTCGTTACTTTCATAAGTAACACGTTGAGTTACTTACCTACCAGCATTATTGAAAAGTATGTCAATATGGCCAAAATGCTGAACTGCATACTGAAAATGTTTTTTGTGTGACTGAAAATCAGTGACATCCATAGGCACAACTAGGACATCTCGATCACTCAGTTGATTTTTGGATAACTCTGCAAGACAAAAAATATAAAATGTCAAAGGTTAAGCTAAATGAGTACTGTTAACATTTTTTGTTGTCTGTCACCAAAGTGAAAAGTTCTTATGATTAAATCTCTATCTGCAAATTATATAATGGCTATAAAGTATTATTTATATTACCTAGACATTTCCTTTTAACTCTCAATAACTCATTAGGTCTCCTTGCTGCTAAAGCTAGTTTCACACCAAACTTTGCCAATGCATATGCTGTGAATTCACCAATACCACTAGATGCTCCAGTGATAAAAACTACTTTTCCTTTCAATCTTCCTATAAAAGAGAAAGAATAGTGTTAAATAAAAGAGTGGCTTTTGGCTAAATGTTGCCCTAATGTTATCAGAATTATTATTATTAAATGAGACAGCAACAAACTCCAAAACTAATCTAGAAAACCCTATAAAAAGTGTATTGGCAATTTTTGTGTTTGTAGCTTTATTTCCAGAGGATTTTTCTGGATATCGGGCTTTGGAACAGATCCTAGATTCCCAAAATGTGAAAAATTTTTACTCCTAAAAATATTTGGTATAGCCATTATCTTGACTGCCCTAGGGACTAAATTTATTTTCAACAAGCCTTCATTATGTATATTATTATAATGTGTCAGTTTAAAGAGCAACAAGACAATTGTTAATATTTTTATGTTCAGGATTTATTCTGATATTGTTCTGGGTTCAAACATGCATACAAAATGGTATGTGGAAAAGTTTTGCAAGATATCTAAAAGCAATGATTAAGTAAACAAAAATCACAAGGTATATTGCAGTCATGCAATTGTTTCATTAATTACAATGAATTTATTCCAGATAGGTATGCATTATGCCTATAATACCTATATGGATATTTTTACTTACTAGGCGACTTTCCAAACTTTTCGCAAAAGAATAATTCCAAGTCACAGTCACTCATAAATGCAAGAACAGTACAAACACTCCAGTAAATGAATATTCCAGCTCCAAGAACTGTGAATAAAATCATCGTCCTCAAATTTTTTTAACTACGTGAATTTGAAACTACACTGGTTTTATACACCTCACTTCTAATTACAAAAAACCAATGACGGTTAATTCCTATAATTGGGAGTGGGCTGCCTAATTAAATTAGTCTTATCAAGCTCAAGTTTAATAGAGGTTTATTGAATGGTCGGTTTCGACTTTCTACACGATTACCATAAAATATCGTCTTATCAAAACAAAAACAAACCAAAAAGTAGGGTTAGATGACATGTGATGGCATCATGGGCGTAACCAGTAAGGCGCAAAAGGTGGTAGGAGCTAGTGTCCTCTCTCTAGATTCTATATGTATACAAAGTGACATATAAATCCGAACACCCAGTTTAAATGGTTTTATTTTAATAAAAGTTGGTGAATGTATTTATCTTACTGTAAATAACAAGTGAAAAAATGTTCAGCCTTATCAGTTGGACATTCCGGTTTTTATACTGCTTTTTTTTTTAATTCACTAACGCTCTAAAAATGAATATTTCAGCCGCAGTAAAGAATCAACTTTGGCCTTATTTTGGTTCTTGCCATCCTTTACGATCGGTTAAGCAACAGACCGTGAAGATCGCCGCCTAAGATTATTGGCCTTAAGGGACCGTTTCTCCACTACCAGGTCCATTGCAAATGAATGGTTTGCAGAACACGGAAGACCTATTGGCATGCGAAGTGTTTACCGACGAATGAGAAGTTTTGGCTTGTTTTCATACCGGCCACACTGGGTCCTCCCTTTAACTCGAGAACACCGACGTAATCGCCTTGAGTGATGCAGACAACGGTCACTCTGGGATCAGGAATGGAACAGTATTGTCTTTAGTGACGAGTCTCGATTTTGTTTAGGCATGCACGATGGTCGTGCCAGGGTTAGAAGGCGACGTGGTGAAAGGAGGAATCCACAGTTTTTTGTTGAAAGACATGTTCATCGCACTGCTGGAGTTATGGTTTGGGGTGCTATAGCTTATGGTTCCAGGTCACCTTTAATCTTCATCAGAGGTAACATGAACACGCAGCGTTATATCCACGAAGTTCTAGAACCCCATCTTTTACCCTATCTTGACACCCTGGCAGATCCAACTTTCCAACAAGATAATGCCCGACCACATGTTGCAAGAGTCACAATAGACTTCTTTCAACATAATGATGTCACATTGTTACCATGGCCACCAAGATCTCCCGACTTATCCCCAGTTGAGCACGTGTGGGATATGATGGGTAGGAGATTGCTCAATTTGCAACGTCCTCCTCAGACTCTAGAAGCACTTCGAGAGGAGTTGGTGGTTGCCTGGAATGAGATGCCACAGGAGGACATTGACCACCTGATCAGAAGCATGCCTAGGCGCGTTGGAGAATGCGTAGCACATCAGGGTGCATCCACACATTATTAAAGGTCAAAGGGCTTTAAAGCAGTGCAATCATTTTGAATTTTTTATCATTTACTTATTATGCTTCATTAAGTACTTATACAAAATTTTATTAAAATAAAACCATTTAAACTGGGTGTTCGGATTTATATGTCACTTAGTATATATGGTACATAAAATGAGTCATTTGTTATTTGAAACGTGACATGGGTATGGAGACATATAAAGCATTTTTTTCTCCAAAATCCGTGAAAATAACATGAACATGGATTAATTTTTGCTTGTCCTTTGTCAACCTAGCCTTCCTCTACGTCAACCCTGGTACGCCACTGGTTAATTTCAGATAAATATAGGGGGGAGCGAGGAAAAAGCTTCTTCACTATACCATTGATTAAGGTATTCTACCTAATGATAGATAACCTAATGCTATATTCCCGCGTCCAAAAAATTATCAAAGATAAAATGAGATACCATAGCGTTATCTTTGAGAATTTCACAGATGTTTCTCTATTTCGACATATACTTGAAAAGCTTAGGGGCTAATAGATTGCGCTGTCTATACATGCATATAGGTGACAACAGGATCAAGGATAATATTTCCGTCGCGGGAATATATAGGATGGCTATCTTCAGGTGGAATCTGTCAATCAAGGACTGCTGGCAGCTTTATTAATTTTGTACTTTTTCAAGTATTACAAAAAAAATCATGTTTTATGGGATTTTCAGAGTTAATGCAAATTTTACGTCATGCAAACCAGAACTGCTAATTCTAAATAGTCAGTATTTTATTTTTCCATTTTTATAATTTCTGCTACAATCATAAGAGTAATGGGAAGGGAGTGAATTATACTAATATAAATTAATAAATATATTATTTTCTTTTGTTATCAATACAAATAATATATACACTTTTCACAAAATGTCTTGTGTACATGAGATTTTTTTCGTAGAATAATATAATTTTGCATATTATATAATTCACAGGAATATCTGTCTACCATATAGAGAGATTGTTTCTTCAAGCAAATTATTCTCCTTCATCATCTACAAAATGTTTATAATCATCAATAATTTTGAAAGTTGCCTTTTTCAATTCCTTAGCTATTTTTGTTTGTATATCTGAACTGTAATACATTGTATCTTCTTGAAAATTATTAATAAGAGATTGAAACATGTTGTTCATATGCTGTTTTACCATGTTTGCAAGTTTGACCTCATCCATATTGCTTTTACTGACATTAACATTTGTTTTCTCTGTCTGTAGTTCTATTTCCTTTTTCAAACTAGATATTGTAGCTTCTAATTCTTCAGTGTTAGTTTGTTTTTGCAGAAATTTCTCACAAGTATCTTCCAAGTCTTGAATTCTAGCTTTCTGATTGTTGATGATATCTTCCTGTGTCGTGATTTCATTTTGTAAATCCTCAATTACCGTCAATTCCTGAAAATAATTGAAAAGCATTATTAGGAAAGCTGATATATTTTCTAATTTTAAAAACATATGAGTGTCCTCAACTTACATGCTTTTTTGCATTCTCAAGCTCTAAAGATAGCCTCTTAACATTCTCCTCTAGTTCCTCAACTTTTTTAATACTATCTTTATTGTCTTGGCTTGTTCTTTGGAATAACTCACATTTCTTCTCACTCCTTTCCCATGCTGTCTTTAAATTTTCATTTACCAACTCTAATGTCCTGATTTTAGATTTCAGAGATTCTTCTTCACTATTCTTGTAATTACTCTGATTTGAACCTATACTTAAATTGTCTATCTTAGCAGATATGTTGGCTAAGTGCATCTTTAGCTCAGTATTTTGAGCAATGAGGAAATGATTCAAACCATCATTAGGGTAATAATTTTGTTGAGGCATATACTGAGGTTCAACCACAACTTGTTTATTGACATGAAGTGGTGAAAGAGCAGAATGTGGTACCCTTTTTTGTTTTCTAGGCGGTGGAATTTTCTGATCACTCTCTGGTTCTTCAGGTTCTGATTCAGATAACTCAGAACTGTGACCTAAAGGATTCGATATAACTTGCTGGCCCATCTTAGCTATTCGATTCAGTATATTTGCTCTTTTTACTGATTCGGAGCTATCAGAAAGCTGGTCTTCTGCTGTCTTAGAAACCAAGTTGCATACTTCTGGCTTAGGTAACAAATCTGGTTTGATATCATTGTTTTGTATCTGCACTTTATTAGATTCTACTGCTTTTTCAATAACCTTAGCACCATATTGGGCCAATATATCAGTAAACTGTTTCCTATCATTGTTATCAAATTTTACCAACCAGTTTTGTGAATTAGAGTCATAGAAAGAGGCAAAATTGTTTTGCTGTTTGTAAAATGAAAAAGCTTCATTAAGTTTCGTTCGAATTAGGACATCTGTTTTTTCTTTATATACAATAAGTTCATATAGATCTAGTTCAGTACTTCCTATTATTGCCAAACCATGTTTGCCCAAACACTTATATTCTTTATTCTCCCTGAAATTATGACAATAAAATTATAATTTCACCATTGAAAAAATCGTTATGAAACCTTACAATTTCCATAGTGTAACTATTTTAGCTACCACTGCTGCTGTCTGAACTTTACTCTTGCTTCCCTCTTCTTTAACATTTGGAGTGCTGTTTGAAGAAGTAGAACTTTTTGGTTGTTTTGGAGCAGTGTAAGTTAAACTATTAGAATCATTCGAAATTATTGAATTGTTAAATAAAGATGCTAACTTGGAACTGCAATGAAAATATTTAGGTAAATATCTTCAAATATTCAAAGTACAATCTACATACCTGTTTGAAGGAGTAAAATCATAATCATCAGAATCATACATGTTTTTCATAACATCAGTACAACAGTATGATAGGTGGTAATCTTTGAATTTCAAACAAATAAATGGTTATTCAGCTGTTTGAAGATCAAACAAATCTAAATAGATATTTATATAAAATAAATATTTATTCAAGAGGTTAAGTGCATTAGCTTTCAGGATATAAAAACACCAAAATAGAAAATACAAAAATGACAGAAATGTCAATTATGAGGGGACTGTAAGGGGGGCAGTAATGAGATAAAAAATAGTTTTTTTTACGGTACCAAGTGCCATACATGAATCTGACTGATAAATGAAGCATTAGTTAGTCACCTGACCATTAGACCCCGCCTGGTTTTTGTCTCAGTGGTATTAGAATTAAATCGGTCCCACACGATGTGGCGAATGCCTTACAGCGTTGGACACATGGCTATTCGCCACAACGTGTGGGAGCTGGGCGAGCGCTGAAGGATTGCATGTGTCAACGTTCACCACATGGCACGTTCGGGCTCTTTTCGGCAAATTTGAACAGCGTCAAAGGACTTTACAACGTTGGAAGCATGGTTCGTTACGCTTCCACACGATATGTCATGTGTTTGATGGTTTTAGGTTAGAACCAGTTGCGGTGAAAAACATTATTTACTTGTTTGCTGTGATTCTGGTGAAGAAGTGGTATGTGGGAAGTATTTTGATGTGAATACCTACCTATTCATAATAATGTATGTTCTGTAACTAACTTTTGAGGAAAATGAATTAAATTAGTATACGTACAAAACATAGGCTGGCATAACACTTTTCCCATATTGCTAATATTTTGTACGTTTTGCAGGTGAGTTATGGCTGGCCGAAGGATATGTATTTCAGTAAATTATATTATCAAGTGCTTACAGTTGTTTCATTTTAATGTCCTGTTGCAATGCACGAGTAGTTGAGAAATATATTGACTTGCATTTCATAATTAACGAAAACGATTACATAAATGATAACTCTGAAAGTACTATCAGGATTTTCATGAAATTTTGACCCTAGGTTACTACTATGATAATGACGAAAAGCGAAGTTTTTGAAAATCGATATAGTGGCGGCGGAGTTATAGTCGAAAAACAAACAAAAACGGTCAAAATTCATTTTTCGACATTTCTGAGGCAGACTTAAGTTTTGGTCGCTGAAGACAGATCTGTAATTATTTTTCGGCGCTCGAAAAAATTGTTTTATCGTTCATTTTGTATAATTTTTCCTTCAGTTGTAAGGGTTCAAGCGCGACACTGACACCGGTAATAGACGTTGGCGCTGCCATGCGTCGAACGTCCGAGACTAAAAAGTTCATCCCATCGTGTAGGGGACCCACTTGCAATTTGTGGGGTGTCGAATGTTGTAAACAACGTTGTATACAACGCTGGAAGCATCGTGTGGGACCTGCATTAGTTCCATTGTCAGTTGGATCAGCTGATGTTTGACAACAATGACGTGTCAAAATATGAAGGTAACCTTAAAAAATATTTGTGTATGGGTAAGACGTCAATGGTGTTACCAATTGATTAAATTTGTTGTTGGAAAGGCTATGCAAACATGTTCAACATAATTAATTTATTGTGTTTTTCTATAATATTGGGTATATCGAATCACGTTTACTGTCACAATAAATATGCCAAAGAAGCCAATGTTAAAGAAGAACTGCCTGATACAGAAACCGATTTTAGGCCTATATCTTTGAAGCATTTGGATAGGCCCTTTCGCATGGCAAAACTGAACTTGTTGTGGTCAAAAGCCGTATTGGTATGTATACTTATCACTTTCAGTAGCTGTATTGTCACAGTATCAAAAGGCTAAAAGGCCTGAAAATCTATTCCAATTTTAGAGGTTATCTGAACCGAAATTGAAAATGCTTTTTGGAGAGTTGAAGTTACACGATAAAGAAGAAATCACCTGGAAGCATCTGCGAGCAGAAGGAAAAGATAAGGATGGTATGAAAGAAGCTGAGCTTCGTAAGAAGCTAATGACAATTATGGAGAATTACAACCTTCTTGATCAAGCTGACAGTGTTCATGATCCTAACAAGGCTAGGCCATTCAAACCATTGAATGAAGCTAGTGACAAACATATCAACAAAAGTTTATTCAAGGTAGCTATAAAAATTTCACACTTGTAATCTTTGATTAAATCTCGAGAATGATTTCAATATTATTTAATATGGCAGGTGAAATAATTATAAATAGCCATTAGGTATATTCTTTAATTCACGAGTTGAGCTACCGGTGCAACTGGTTAGCCAAGTTTGCGTCCTTTAATTTCCGCTGGAACAACCGGTTGTACATCAAACTTGTTTTTATATTGATGGTGGATATGCCACTGGTGCCAACAGGGTCCACCAACGTTAGGGCTCGGTTGATCCACAACACTCTAACCTCTACATTTTATCATTTTTTGACAACTACAGTTTTGTGTACAAAAAGGAAGAAGGAAAGATTGAAGTTATGCTACAGCATAGCAGTGCCATGAAATTTAATGTATTTTTAACACAATTCGAAATAAACAGAGCATCTGAAGGCAAGTGATTTTATTTTGAATTATGAATATCTGAAAATTTGTTCTTTCTCTCCACTGGATAACTTCTTCATCCGAATCATCACTCGAATTGCTTGACAAACTTTCCACCACAATACCAACTGCTGCGTAGATTGCCATGATTTTAAATGATACGGAGTTCAAATTAACAAGTATCCATTCACGGTAAAACAAAGGCTAGGTTTTCTCATATGACAGCAACCTGAAGGCTAAAAATGGGTCTTTTTATTAACCATCAGTCAACGGAACCGATTGCTGATGTCATCACATCAGCTGTCAACCATAAGTTCACCGGATCCATCAGTGATGGAATCTACCATTGAATTAAAGAATATACCTATTGTAGCTGCAATGCTGGAGGATCTAGTGTCAAAATACCTGTGAAACATGCTTTACTTTATAAGGCTGTTTGATATATTTTGATTTTGGTAGGATAAGAAGTTGAATAAACTTTGGGAGAAAGCAGAAACAGCAGGTTTTACACAAGAAGAGCTGTTAGCTTTAAAAGAAGAATTTGGTCACCATCAAGATAAAGTAGATCAATACTATGCACTATTACATGATGTAAAGGGAAATCCTGACAATACTGAAACTAGTAAGTGTTTAGTTACTCTGATGTTTTCTTAAGAATATTTTACTACTAGAACTTACAAATATGTATCCAAAGTGCTCCAGAAGATGACTGAAATTAGTCTTCTAGAATGTGCTTTCTTCAAGTCAGTTATGTCACCCATACTGCTGAATTCATTAATGTTAGATTTTTAGCTATCTACTACAGTACAATGATTATAGCTTTCATAATGAAATTTTGCTAGAAACATGTTAAAATAATTTATACTTCTGAAAAATACTTTCAGTAAATTTTTATATTTCACTTTTTAAACCTGTTTGTGGTGACAATGCTTTTTTCATTCAACTGCATGGAATAATAAACAGAGTAAAGTATTTGCTGAATTGTTTCATAATCATCTTGCTTTCTCCCAAATAGATTCAGTGGATGATTCCTTGGATAAATACAATGAGATTGAGTTGAAAGAGGATCCACAACCTGACAAGAATGGCTATCTAGACAAAGTGAACATGTTACGTGACAAACATAAGGAAATCCGCGACCATTATGATCATCTACAAATCTTGGCAGCTAAAGGACCAGCAAGTAAAGAGTTTGTCGAGCCCAAGGTCCAGGGATTATGGAAAATAGCTTTAGAGAGCAACTTCACACCAGCAGAGTTAGAATCTTTGAAGGTTGAGCTTCGGCATTATGAGAACAGGTGAGACACCAGACCAAGTCATTGGGTAACATTACTGTATCTCTGTATGCTACAATTAATATTTCACAACTCCAGCATCAAAGGATGAGTAAATGGCAAAATTTTATTGTGAACTACACTGATGTCATCTATGAGACATTATCAAAACACACAAATGGATTAAGAAATCTACTTTGAAGAGTAGAGTGTTTTGCTCCACTCTCATAGATTGTCTTGGGTTTTCAATTCCTTTAATGTCTATATATATTTTAATTGGGTATTTTTAGGTAAAACTTTTTAGTCAGAAGAACTTAACACTCTAACCCTTTTCAAAGTAGATTTTTAAAATGATTTTCGTGTTCCACTACTGTCTTAGATGGCGCTAGTAACTTTCAGATCCCTTTTTGGACTCGGGAATACAGTATATGGTTGGCTGTTTTTAGCTAGAATACATTTATCAACTTTTGTGCACACCTCTTAATGCTTGTCTTGTGTAGTATAAGTGTAAGATACTAGACAGGCTGCTGTTTAAGAAATATATTTGCTAAATGCTTCAAATTTTTTGTTGTAGGTTGTTGAAGTTGAGGCACCTGCAAGTGGAACATGCCTTGCATGAAGAAAAAGAGAAGAAGAAAATGGATATTGCAGGAGGCAAGTCCAATGCTGCCTCTCTTATGGAGGATAATATCAAGAAACAAGCTAGGAAAGTTGAGAAAATTCATCTTGATCTGGAGACTAGGATTATGCAGAAACACATTGAGCTGTAATTGCTGGATTTAGTATTTGTTTCTTTGTATGATAGCTCTCTTGGCTTGTTGTAAAAAATATGATTTCATCTCATTCAACTGACCTAAGGTATATCATTCTACAGTAGTGCCAAAATGATAGTATAGCAGGTGAAATAGGTTTGTCATTATTCTTATTTATGTCTAGTCTTGGTAGGCTTAAGAGGATGATGTGATTTTAAACGTGCATTATTTGCATTCATTATTAAAGGAAAGCTCAAATGTGAATAACAAATGTGCATATTTATATATAATCTCTTTTTATTTGATTTTATGTATTTTTAATTTTATTTTATATATTGCTAAGTGGTATCTGAGCTTGAACTTAATATTTTCATTCGAATCAATAAATATTTTTATATTAGTTTTTCTGTATTTTAAATGTAATTATTGTATGTTCCATATTGCATTTTTTACAATATACTCTTAGTGTTCTAAATTTCTGAGAATATTTTTGTATGAAAAATATTACTTTGGTATCTGTTACTTGTGATAACATTCTAATTTTTTATGTATGTTCTCATTCTTTAAGATTAAATTATTTATAATAATAATTGTTTCATTTCATATAACAAACACCATGAGAATCCTATTCTTACGACACTCACAAGTAATTAATTGTTTTTTTGACATGACATTCCTATTTACTGAAAATGTCGTCCGCATTATAAGATTTATCGAATATATTTGCCAGCTCCAGCAGACTGAATACCCGCATTGGGTCATAGCTTTTTGTTTTTCACTTGCTGAGGAGAGGAAGAGGTTTAGTTCCACCATACAAATATCTGCTCGCTCGCCCACAATCTGTCCAGATTATACAGGGTCGATCACATTCTAAGTGACATAGACCCAGTAATAATGAATTACAACAATTTTTGGTAAGTAATCGATCCAAATTTCAGAAAAATCCGTCTGTTGAAAAAATGTAAAAAATCAGTGGTTTGTTGCGCATCCACAATGTCTTATGCACCCAGAATTACGTCTGGCCATACAGGAGTATGGATCGTCTGATTAGGAAATCAGATGATCCTGATACAGATCTATAGGTTTCTGAAAATCGCACTGTCGATCTCTCGTAAAATTGGTGGACGACGAGTTGCTATCAGGACCACAGAAAGGGGAGGAGGTATGTGAATGGTATTCTGCTTATGATATGATGTTCGCGCGGATTTTTGATCTTTGGCATAAATATATGCTCCTAGTCGTTTCTGTAATCCTGATACAGATCTGCAAGTTTCTGAATATCGCACTGTCAACTACAGCTTCTTCGTAAAATTGGTATATTGGAGACTTGTTACGAGGTTCACAGAAAGGCGAGGAGATATGTGAATAGTACTGTTCTATCCATGATACTCCAGTGAAATTTGGATCCTTGGCATCTATGCTTCTCGTTGTTTCTGCAAACCTGATACAGATCTCAATATCGCACTGTCGACCACTGCTTCTTTGTAAAGTTGGTAGATTGGAGACTCGTTACCAGGTTCACAGAAACGCAAGGAGGCATGCAAATGGTACTCTGCTCCTGTTTTTGAAAATTGCACTGTCAACCAGACGTTTCTGTTAAAATTGGTGGACGGTGACTTTCTATCAAGATCACACAAACGCGACGAGTTATTTGAATGAAACTCTGCTTATGCTATGTCATTGGCGCGATATTTTAATCTTTGGTATCTATGCTCCTAGTCGTTCCTGCAATCCTGATACAGATCTATACGTTTCTGAATATCGCCTGTCGAACACAGCTTCTTCGTAAATTGGTAGATAGGAGACTTATTATCAGGTTCACAGAAACGCGAGGAGGTATGTGAATAGTACTGTGTTATATCTATGAAACTCGCGTGAAATTTGGATCGTTGGCATCTATGCTTCTCGTAGTTTCTACAATCCTGATACAGATCTATAGATCTATAGATCTGTATCAGGATTGTAGTCTCTGAATATTGCAACTGTTGACCACAGCTTCTTCGTAAAATTATTGGACTGGAGACTTGTTATCAGGTTCACAGAAAGGCGAGGAGGTATGCAAGTGGTACACTGCTCCTGCTATGAGAAAAGACCGAAATTCAAATCCATGGCAACGATATCTCTTCCCGTTTCTGCGAACCTGATACAGATCTATATGTTTCTGAAAATCACACTGTTGACTAGACTTTTCTCGAAAAATTGATTGATCATGATCACATGTGCATAGTACTGTGCTCTATCCATATGATATTCGTGTGATATATGGACCCTTGGCATCTATGCTTCTGATGGTTTCTGCGATCCTGGTGCAGATCTATACGTTTCTTAAAGTCGCATTGTCGATCAGGCTTTCTTCTAAAATTGATCCATTGGAGACTTGTTATTAGGTTCACAGAAACGCAAAGGGATACGCAAATGGTACTCTGCTCCTGCTATGGGATAAGCACAAAATTCAAATCCATGACATCGATACCTCTTGCCGTTTCTGTGATCCTGATACAGATCTATAGGATTCTGAAAATTGCACTGTCGATCAGACCTTTCTTGAAAAATTGATAGACGGTGACTTACTATCAGGATCACAGACATACGAGGAGGTATGTGAATAGTACTGTGCCCTATCTATCATATTCTCGTGATGTTCGGACCTTTGGCATCTATGCTCCTGGTAGTTTCTGCGATCCTGATGCAGATCTATAAGTTTCTTAAAGCCTCACTGTCGATCAGGCTTTCTTCGTAAAATTGGTGGATTGGAGCGTTGATATTTGGTCCACAGAAAATGTGTGGAATGGAACTCTGCTTTTGCTATGGGATAAGCATGAAATTCAAATCCATGGCATCGATGTCTCTTGTTTCTGCGATCCTGCTACAAATCTATAAGTATCTGAAAATGGCACTGTCGACCAGACTTTTCTCGTAAAGTTGGTGGACGGTGATTTGCTATCAGGATCACAGATCCGTGGGGAGGTACCCACATTTTGTCATTTGTATACTTTGATAGACTGGAGACTTGTTATCAGGTTCACAGAAAGGCGAGGAGGTATGCAAGTGGTACACTGCTCCTGCTATGGGAAAAGACCGAAATTCAAATCCATGGCAACGATGTCTCTTCCCGTTTCTGCGAAATTGATACAGATCTATATGTTTCTGAAAATCACCCTGTTGAGTAGAATTTTCTCGAAAAATTGATTGATCACATGTGCACAGTACTGTGCTCTATCCATGATATTCGTGTAATATTTGGACCCTTGGCATCTATGCTTCTGATAGTTTCTGCGATCCTGGTGCAGATCTATACGTTTTTTAAAGTCGCATTGTCGATCAGGCTTTGTTCTAAAATTGGTCCATTGGAGACTTGTTATTAGGTTCACAGGAACGCAAGGTGATACGCAAATGGTACTCTGGTCCTGCTATGGGATAAGCACGAAATTCAAATCGATGGCATCGATACCTCTTGCCGTTTCTACGATCCTGATACAGATCCATAAGTTCCTGAAAATGGCACTGACTTTTCTTGAAAAATTGATGGACGGTGACTTATTATCAGGATCACATAACTGCGAGAAGGTATGTGAATAGTACTGTGCTCTCTCTACCTATCATACTCGCGTGAACTTTGGATCCTTGTCATCTATGCTCCTGGTGGTTTCTGCGATCCTGGCGCAGATCTATAAGGTTCTTAAATTTCTTCGTAAAAGTGGTAGATTGGAGACTTGTTATCAGGTTCACAGAAACGCGAGGAGGTATGAAAATGGTATTCTGCTCCTGCTATGAGATAAGAACGAAATTCAAATTCATGGCATCAATACCTTTTGCCGTTTCTGCGATCCTGATACAGATCTATAGGATTCTGAAAATTGCACTGTCGACCAGACCTTTCTTGAAAAATTGATAGACGGTGACTTACTATCAGGATCACAGAAATACGAGGAGGTATGTGAATAGTACTGTGCTCTATCTATCATATTCTCGTGATGTTCGGACCTTTGGCATCTATGCTCCTGGTAGTTTCTGCGATCCTGATGCAGATGTATAAGTTTCTTAAAGCCTCACTGTCGATCAAGGCTTTCTTCGTAAAATTGGTGAAGCCTTGATATTTGGTCCACAGAAAATGTGTGGAATGGAACTCTGCTTCTGCTATGGGATAAGCATGAAATTCAAATCCATGCCATCGATGTCTCTTGTTTCTGCGATCCTGATACACACCTATAAGTTTCTGAAAGTCGCACTGTCGACCAGACTTTTCTCGTAAAGTTGGTGGACGGTGATTTGCTATCAGGATCACAGATCCGTGGGGAGGTACACACATTTTGTCATTTGTATACTTTCGTCATTTTTTAAGAACACCCTATACAATAAAACAACGCCTGACTTAAATATCATTTATTATACAATATACACGCATAGATATACATACATATTCCTAAGATCAGCAAAACAAAAAATGCGGGGAAGTATTGCACTTTCGAAAAGATTTGTAGAAAACTGAGTCAGTCTCTTAAAATATATCTTTGTGGATGGAACAAAATAAAACCAGTTGGTTGTAAATATTACTGCTAATCGGAAACCAACAATATTGAAGGAAAGCCGCCGATATTCATTTGTGGTTAGTGAATTTTTTTAATATCCAACCTGAAAAAAGTTGAATTTTTTCTACGATTGTCGGAAGATGAGGAAGGAATAGGGAATTGCGGCTTATTGGCATTGGTCGGCGACTTCGAGAGATCATCCACAAAATAGTGTTTGGTGCGAGTTTTTGACCTATAGCGATATTAAGTATTGGGTCCGTACTTTTTAGAAAATAGTTACCATTTTCCTTGAGACCAAATTAACCAATGAGGACACCGGTGACACGTTCCCGTAGGATGGAGCTTACGTATCACACAGCCGTCATGATGTAAATTCAGAATTCGTACAGGTGGTGTGAATTGGCCACCAGGATTGAGCGATTTGACCTCATTATAGTTTTTTGTGTTTTTTGATGCCAACAGTCCGCAATTCATTACCATTATTATAACACAAGAAATTACTAATATTCAGCTAAATCCATGCGTGGTACATGGGACATTTATGGCGAACATTATTCTTGTTCAGTTCAACCTCAACAAATCCTTATTTTAAAGCCCTGCATAATGAGAAGCAAGTTTGAATTTTGAAGATTCATACATTAATCTTCCAGTGTGCTCCATTTCATCAGTTTGTTGAATAGCAATGGGAGTATTTCCAAATATGGTACTGCTGAAACCAGGTGCGTTGCTTGTGCCGTAACTAGCTCATATTCCAAATAACTTATAGTCCAAACTCTTGGTGACGGTATCTTAGAGGTGCCGGTACGTTTAGAGTATTACATACAGAACTAGACGGTAAAGTAGAGTAGTTGAACCCAGAATTTGATAGGAACCCACACTGGTTGCCGAGACTGTTGAAATTGCTGGCGTAGAGATCGGACTGGTTGTACTGCGAGTAGGAGCACTTCCAGGGCATGATGTACTGGAGGTCGTTCCCATGTGGTACTGACGGGTTCTGGTACTGCGGGAAGAGCGGTTTCTCTGCTATGGCGTCTGGTTTGAGGGGTACTGGGGGAGTCTTGCAAGGGATCTTCGACGATTGTTGTAGGCTGAGGCTGCGTTCGTTGCGGCGGAACTTGGCGCGTCTGTTCTGGAACCACACCTAGAAGAAACAGATAGGTCATGTCATACTGTTGCAGTCAAGAGTGAATAGGTAACATATACCGCCCTAGACTAACTTAACTCATCTCGGTCTATAAGCGAGGTATTCGGCCCTGAAGGTAAATCAAATCTCAAGTAGATCGCATCTATCAGATTTTTGCATTGCATATTTTAAAACATACTGTACGCAAACTAACATCAACAATTTTTTTCTATTTTAGTACTTCACTGTTTTCATAAAGTACGCTTCATCGCGCTTTTATCATTTTTGTCCAAAATTAAAATTTGTAATAAAATACACTAAGATACAAAACATATACATACAGGGTGCGGCAGAGAGGACGGACGTTTTTGGGATGGGTAGTACTCTCCGCCTCCGTCTACGGGAGAGGTGGGGAGGGTGCCGTTTGACACGTGAGATCCTATCATTATTTTACCAGTTGTCGTTATGGAGCCTTGGACGGTGGAGCACCGCATATTCGCCTATGATTGTTTCGTCCAAAATAATGAGTCAGTCATCGTCGTACAGCGTGAGTTTCGTCGCCACTTCAACATTCATCGGAATAGAGCTGTTCCCTCTCGAAACACCATCGTTCGTTGGGTTGAATCACTTCGCAGGCGTGGTGAACTGATCAACAGAAGACCAAGAGGAGCGCCGCGAACAGTTCGAACTCCTGCAAATGTTGAACGCGTTCGACAGGTCTTTCTTCGCAGTCCGACTTGATCTGCCCGGAAACATGCTGCTGCACTTCGCCTTAGTGATCGTTCAGTAAGGCGAATTTTGCATATGGATCTCCGCTTTCACCCCTACAGATTAGGGAGATAGAAGCACTGATCGATCAAAATGAGAAGCTCATGGTCGTGATGTTACCGTGAACTCAGAGCGCTACATCGACATGATCACCAACTTCTTTCTCCCTGAATTACGACGGCGACGTGTTCCAATCCGACGTGTGTGGTTCCAGCAGGATGGGGCGACCGCCCACACAGCCCGAGCATCCATAGACGTTATTCGCCCTCTCTTCCCTGGTCGCCTTATTTCCAGGTTTGGCGATGTTCATTGGCCTCCTCGATCCCCAGATTTATCCATATGCGATTTTTTCTTATGGGGACACCTCAAGGCTATAGTATAAAGCGAACAAGCCCTGAACTCTGGACGAATTGAAGGGCGAAATTCGCGTGGAAGTCGCCCAAGTTGAGAGAGCGATGTTGGAGAGAGTCTACGCGAACTTCCAAGAACGCCTCCAGCACTGCATCAACGATTTCGGCCACCACATGCCTGATGTGATTTTCCACACTTGACTGTCTCAAATGCTATTTCCTTGTGAACCTGATTCCATCAATAAATTTGTTTTCGAGTAAAAATTAACTACATATTTCATGATCTTTTTAAAACCGTCCATCCTCTCTGCCGCACCCTGTATAAACATAAAAGTGCTACTACATTGTATTTACACTAATAATAATGAGACTTCAACGTCTGTTTATAGCACAAATGAGGTTCATGAAACTTAATGTAAAAATGTAAAAATTTTATACATGTGCTCAACTTGAAATTTCAGTAATGTTTATGGCCAAAAACCACGCTTATAGATAATGATGCTTTCCCAAAAATTACTGTAGGTAATATTTGGTTTTATCGATGCAGGTTGTTCAAGGGGATATTTAAAACATGGTCGCATAAAAAGGTTATAGGTCTCTATTTCTGTAGGAAAACTTTTTATTCAACAACCAAGAATGAGAGCTACCGAATTAAGACAGTGTGAAACGCCATCTGTCGCTAGACTTGACCACTGCTAAACAGGGAATCGCAGCAAACAGGTTGGGACTGTATAGACCTCAGTCCGCGAATCGGAGGTTGACAAACCACATGACCGCTAGATGGCAACGATTCAGGTTAAGAGGTAGATGTGGTGTATTTGCCATTGAACAAAGTAAATATGTTCCGCTTTCCTCTATCTAACGGACTGGGATCTATACGTATACAGTCCCAATCGGTTGGCTGTGATTCGCTGTTTCGCAGTGGTCGATTCTAGCGACAGACGGAGCTTCTTTGTATAGTGTAAAGATGGTATGCTGTCGTTAGTTGTCTGAGAGACCTAAGTCTACATCATGCTGAAGAGTAGCCAAAAAGCTGTGCATAGTTGTCTGCCTTTAGTCGGAGGGATGAAAGCAGATCATATTTATTTTATAAAAAATGAGAAAATGTGGTGCTAAGAAATGAATATAAAGTGTATGCATGAACGGAAAACTCCTTAAGTAGGATTTTGAGGACCTGAGGTACCTACAAAATGAGACACTACAAAAAGGATGCCATCAACGGTAAAAAAAGTTGTGGCCGAAAATCTCGCCAAAATGCAGGTTTCGGCACTTGTTGGACATGCGACGATAGTGCCACGTAGATACTTGAAATTTTTCAAATCAACAGAGCTCATATGTTTAAATAAATAACTGAAACAAAATTGGATATGATGTATTTGTGATAAATCGGACAAACGTGATACGATATTCGCAAAACATACTTTATTATACACATTTTAAAACAACGACTTTTATGTAATGTTTCGGCTTTGTATCGTTCAGGATTTTCCGAGATTTCAGAACTATGGGATCAATTCAGTGTAACAGTAGAAAACATTTGAGTATAGGGACCCATATCCGGCGCTTGCGTGTTGTTATCTTTAAAAACGATAACAGATTGTTTTTTGTAGCGGCATTCCATACCGCCTTAGTCGTGCTATCGTATTTGTGGAGTTTGCAAGAATTTAACAAAAATTAATTGTTGCTAATGAAAAACTGTACCAATCAAGAATTGGCGGATATGCATTTGGCATACGGAGCAACAAGCTGCAATGCACGAGCAGCGGCCCGGTTGTACCAAGAATGTTTCCCCAACGACAGCATCCGGGATACAAAAAGTTTATTGCTATTCATCGGCGGCTTTCCGAGACAGGCATTTTTAAAACCAACATGCATGATATTGGTGTTGCTCGAACCGTAAGAACGGTCGAATTTGAAGAAGGGGTCCTTCAGCGAGTTGCCGACGAACCATCAAGTAGCACACGTCACATTGCTGAGGATGTGAATACGAGTAACGTTTCCGTCTGGCGGGTGCTACACGAGCAACAACTTTATCCTTACCACTTCCAGAAAGTTCAAGGATTGACTGCAGACGATTATCATCCCAGAGTTCAATTTTATCAATGACTTCTTCATTTTTTTTATGTTTTATGGACCGATGAAGCCTCTTTCACAAGAGACGGTATTTTTAATAGTAGGAATAGCCACGTTTGAGACAAAGAAAATCCCCATTCAATTTTTCCTAGAAAACGTCAGCAACGTTGGTCTGTCAATGTATGGGCAGGCATTGTTGATGATTATTTGATTGGGCCATACCTTCCTACCTATTTACCGGCGTTTCTTGGAGGAAATTCTTCCAGAACTTCTTGAAAATGTTCCATTGAACGTTCGACAACAATTGTGGTTTCAGCATGATGAAGCGCCGGCTCACTTTGCTGTACAAGTACGTGAATATTTGGCTCAGCGGTTAGGACACCGTTGGAGTGCCAGAGGTGGAGCAGTTTCTTGGCCTCCTATGTCACCCGACTTAACGTCGTTAGATTTTTCCTGCGGGGACATGTAAAGTCTTTGGTTTACGAAACTCCAGTAGAAACAGAGCAAGATTGGACGAATTACAGTAGCATTTGAAATCATTCAAAACGAGTATCAAATTTTTAGTCAAGTTCGCCGAAATCATGTGCGACGTTTAAATCGGTGTATTCAGGTTGGAGGAAGACATTTTGAACAATTGTTGTGGTGTTATAATGTACAAAAGGCAAAAATTAAATGAATTAAATCTTGTTTAGCCAATTCATCGTCTTTCTAAATTTTAACGCGTCTTAGGGCCGTAGTGCCGTAGTGACACTTTTCCGGATATGGGTCCCTGTACTCAAACGTTTTCCAATGTTACACTGAATAGCCCCTAGAAGTCTGATCTCTTAGTTCTGAAACACACTGTATTTCTGACTTTGACCCAAACTATCGGTCACCTTGTTATTTATCCGGCCATCCCTAGATCTATGCTTTCGAACTTAAGTCACTTCCGATATTTTTTACCTGTACTCTGGCCTCGCTCAGGCTGACTTTGGTTGCAAGGTCTTCTCTCACGAAAGCATCTGGATAGTGAGTTTTCTCGAACACTTTTTCCAAAGCTGCAAGTTGAGCTGTCGTAAACGTAGTTCGATTTCGTCTAGGTTTCTTCTGTTTTTCATCGTTAGGAGCATCTGAAACAAATAATAGTACATTACATGCTTATGTTTCAAATGAGGTATGTACAAGTATGTGTATGATTTTTTTCACGACAAACATTATATGTCACTGTATTTGATTTTATTATATGTATTCTTAGACAATTAGACATCTTTATTATGAACATTATGTTCTAAACATCACGATCATGAAGTTTCCTGCTAATTTTACAAATTGAAATATCTAGTTACATTTCTTAGACTTACAAGTTCAAATCAATGAATGTAACGGAAATTGGGTGATTTTGACTGGTCCATTAAGGAGGCGTAATGTAGCCTGACACTCGTTTTCAAATATTTCCGACTATAAAGTTTGGTTGTCAGATTTCAATTTTTCACGACATTTATTATCCACCTAGGTGTTTTTTGTTCTCATTATCTACCTTGGGAGAGAAAAGCTACCTTTTAAAGGCCTATTCATACTCAGCCGTGACGTGACCGTGCTGTGCGATTCGCCCGCCGAAACTAAAAACATTCTTTCTGGAATTTGAACGAACTGATTCACACTAGACCGGCACGTGGAAGCGGCCGTGTTCTCAGTGCGCTCGACGACGTCGTACCGTGACCGTCGCATTGTTTTGGAACGATATTTTTCAATTTTCACGGCAGTATTTTTATGTAATTTCGTGAATATTTTGATATAATTGGTCAAAAACATGAATGATGAAAAACTAATTTGTACGGGTACAGTCCGTGCTGTAGAACCAGTCAAATTCAAAATACATAGACTTCCGCTTTCTTCTCGTTTCTTCTTCATCTTTCGTAGGTGGTAGACGGTCTCTGACTGTCGAACGCGGAGGTACCACCCGACGGATCTTGTAGGCGCGGCCAGAATGTGTGCATGTTGCATGCACACTTGTTCCCTCGTCAGAGTCCGTGTGGCGTTCCACCTTTCCCCTGTGTTTCCCTCACGGCTGAGTGTGAATAGACCTTTAATAGGGCATAGTGGTTTCTCTAGTGAGGTTGACTCTGTATTTCCCACGCAACGTTGTCATCAGTTCATACAGGATTATGTTCGTCACAAGTTAGCCCGTATTAACGAACATATATAACAAAGAAATTTAACGGATCAAGCTAGTCAAACACGCCCATACAATTGATTCAAAGAAATGTACCCTGCCCTACCGGTCGTAACGCTGTGCAGAGGTAGCCAGAAACCAGAGACGCGTATTTCTCTCATCATTAATGTTTTGAAGACAAATGTATGATGTATAAAATATGTCTAATAGGAGGGTAGAATTACCGAGGCTGGGAACGTATACATATATCAACATCAAACAATTAAGATAAACCCTCAACCATCCCCTACAACCTCCAATATGTAACCTTTACCAACCTCCAATATGTAACCTTTACTATTTTTTCTGAAAATGATCAGGAGGAACAAAGTTTGGGCGATTTTAATTTGGTCGTTTGTTGTTCCGTAGCTCCATCGCCACTGGCCCGATTTCCAAAAACTACAAATAATTTTCGACATTGGCATAGTAGTAACCCTGTGTGAAAATTTCATCAAAAAAAAAGCAATAGTTTCCAAGTTATAGACGTGCCAAGAATTAGCGTACAGTCAGACAGACAAACCGATGGAAATGAGTGACATAGATTACCTTGATTTCATGTAACATCCAAAAAATTCTCACTCTCGAAATATTTGGCAATTACAATACTTCCTCGCCAGTAGGCGTGGGAAGTAAGAGAGGTTCCGAGTTCGTGGGTGTTAGTGTCCTGTTGTAAATAATACTTGTAGATGGATATAGACGACGTCTTATCATATAAGTTTCATTTACTCAGTAATAAATTTCACATCGATTAATTTCATAAATATTCATTATCTAATGAAGTGAACTACTGAAAAACAACGGGTACATCAGCAGTTTAAAAATGTATTTAGGGCGTAAATATGACGCCTTTGTTTTTATGTACAGTAATATACGCAGTATTTTAGATTGTAAACCCTATCATGCACTTTTCTATCAATATATCAGCGGAGTTTATCCTCTGAACTTTCCTCCACGATGTTTCTACTTTCTAGTTCTGCTAAAGCAACCGCCAGGGTTATTCTACATACAAGGCAACATATTCCGATTCGGCCGTATATTATAGATAGATAGATAGATAGATAGATAGATACATTTATTGTCTTGTAGATCATAAAAAATGACATAAAACTCGTCCTAAGAGGGAGGTACATAGTACACATAATTAAAAATAAAAACGAAACAAACATAAGTATTTACAAAGTACAAACAGGGACAACTTAAGGCGTACAGACATTCACATATAAAAAAAGTTTAAAAAAATATATCACAGTGCGAGGTATTCAGACAAAGAGTAGAAACATTTTTCAACTAATAATTTCCGTAGTTTAGATTTAAAACTAGAAATACTACTGACATTCCTGAGGTTAGCTGAAAGTTTGTTATACGAGTATATTCTGATACAGGTGTATTCCGGTGACTTTTCGAACAGCGTCAGTGTGTGTTTTAGAATACTCAGACTCTCACCTGCCCTTGTATTATAATGTGTGTTGATGGTTTTGTTCTGTATAAATTTTGTTTTGTTTGTATGTGTGAAAAGGGCGCACTTATAAATATGAATGCTTGGTAGAGTCATGATGTTTTTACTTCTGAAGATGTCTCTGCAGGATTCTCTTCTACGAATGTTGAATATCAATCTGATTATTCTCTTCTATTGAACAAATGCTCTAGAAATTGAAGTTGCTTGTCCCCAAATTATGATGTTCCTTGATAAATGTGAGTGGACGAGAGCATAATATACATCTAGTAAAGCTGACTCTGATAAGCAAAACTTGAGCTTAAGAATCGCATAATATGATTGGTTCAACTTTTTACACACACTGTCCATGTGTTGTTGCCAACTGAGCTTTGCATCCATTTCTATTCCCAAGAATGTGGTAGTTTTCGATGTCTCATGATTTGCTAGAATAGGGGCGTTTGTATAAAAATGTACAACATCTGACTTTTCGAGGTTTGAAATCAAACGATTTGCTTGGCACCACCCTTTCATTTCACCTTTTACTCCATTTATTTTTGCAATAATGTCATTGCGTGTAGTCCCACTTACAAGAACTGACGTATCATTCGCATAATTTGTTACAAATCCAGAGAGATGCAAATCACTTATATATAGAATGAATACAAGGGGTGCTAAAACTGAGCCTTGCGCTACTCCAATGTCGATACTGTACGTTGCGCATGTAATTCCGTTAACTTTTGTTTTGAATTTCCTGTCAGACATGAAAGACACAACCCAATCTAATATAAAACCTCTTAAACCTAAATAAGTCCAATGTCAATTGTATCGAAAGCTTTCGATAGGTCAAAAAAGATGCCCGCGATACATTTATTCATATCGAGCTGTTTATATATCTGACATACAAACTCATAAGTAGCTGTCTCTATTGAATGAAGTTTCCTAAATCCATACTGCGAGCTTGGGATAAGGTTGAATTGTTCAGCATATCCCAAAATTCTTGAATAAATAGCTCTTTCGATTATTTTAGAAAAGATTGACAACAATGATATGGGGCGGTAATTATCAACTTGAGTAGGATCTCCCTTTTTTGGAACGGGAACTATTATCGCAAGTTTCAGGGATTTAGGAAAATTGCCTTGATAGACAGACATGTTAATTAAAGTAGTGAGAGGACCTGCAATTTCATTTAGAACACTTTTAATAACACGAGTAGTTACACCGTCACTACCACACGATTGTTTGTTTGGAAGGTTGGATATGATTAATTTCACTTCTTCATCGGTGACCTCAGTGTAGAACATTGAATGCGCTACTTGAGTTTTAGCTTCTGCTGCTGGTAGTGGGGATACTCCTTTGAAGTGGTGTTGGAGCTTACTTACTACTGTGCTTGAAAAATGTTTCCCAAAAGCGTCAGGCACACTAATCTGTCCCATATCTCCCCCGTTGTCATTTTTAAGTGAAATTACTCCAGAGTTCTTTTTACGTCCAAGCTCCTGGTTGACTATTTGCCAGATCTTTTTTGTCTTATTATCAGCTGTTTTAATTTCGTTGCAGTTATATTGCTGCTTGGCCATTGAGATCAGTTTGCGATGTTGCTTTTTTCTTTCAATATACGTTTGCTTTAGATTTATATCTTGCTCGTTCTCTCTTGTAAGTTTGTACAAATTTCGTAGATTGTTGCTCGACTGCTTTAACTCCGGTGTTATCCATGATTTGGGTTTTGTTAAATGTCTGCACGTAATAACTTTCTGAGGACATGTCCTGTCGAAATGCCACAGAAAGGTGTTGAGGAAGTTTTCGAAAGCATCATCTATATCGGGCTCTTCAATATTCCAAGATTCTTGAGAGAGACTTAATCGCAGTTCTTCGAGATTACAATCATCAGTTTTCCTTACAGTATAAGATTGGACGGGAGACTTGTCGATAAGACCATTCCTTCAACATTAGCAAGTCTAGAATGCGAGAAGATCTCGCATGAGAAAGATTTCTTGCTTCTTTAGTAGTAAGCAATAGTAGTAGTAAGGTTAGTCTGATTCTCTGTCCCCCTATAGGCCTACGGTTCCAGTGGGTATTTAGGCCTTCATGGTGGATCAAGTATAACAAAAAACTCATTTTCAACTCCTGTTCTTACAAGTGAAATAAACTTAGTACTCTCAAATATTTTTGGGCGTTGAATTCAAATATAACCGTGAAGTGTTTTCAAACAGAATTTTAGGCAGAAAATAGGTCATTTATAGCCAGCACCTTGGCGCCTAATACTAAAACATTTGCTTTCTATGCATCGGTGTATAAGGGGATATTGGACGAAAAAATATAACACTATATGCTTAATGAAAGATAAGTGTATCATAATATTCCCAAACGATTTCCACATGTTTTCTGTCAGGGCTACATCATTGATGACTTCTAAATTTATCAATGAATTAGGGTCGAGCAGTGTTACAATGCGTACACTATAAATTTCACCGTATAGTCTTCATAAACATACAGAATGATTAAGAAACAATAGCAGTATTTATATACTAAGTGACATATAAATCCGAACACCCAGTTTAAATGGTTTTATTTTAATAAAAGTTGGTGAATGTCTTTATCTTACTGTAAATAACAAGTGAAAAAATTTTCAGCCTTATCAGTTGGACATTCCGGTTTTTATACTGCTTTTTTTTAATTCACTAACGCTCTAAAAATGAATATTTCAGCCGCAGTAAAGAATCAACGTTGGCACATTTTGGTTCTTGACATCCTTTACGATCGGTTACGATGCCTAGAGTACGGAGACCTGTACGATTTCGTCAACTTAGTGAGTTTGATAGGGGCCGTATAGTGGGACTTCGGGAAGCTGGACTTTCTTTTTGGGCAATTGCAGTTAGAGTGCAAAGAAGTGTAGACACTGTTGTTAGGTGTTGTCAGGCATGGCTTCGAGAAGGCCGTACGCAAAGAGCAAGGGGCACTGGACGCCGCCGTAGAACAACAGACCGT